TATTATGCCCGCTACACATTGAATGACGATGTTGCCAAACTGCCGAATGGAACGGCGTGGCGGTGGAATAAAACAGTAAAACTAATGACGCCCATGTGGTAGGCCTTCCGAACATAGCAACTGCGCGCCATACATTAAAAATGAATGAGAGTTTGTTATGCCCTATAGTCGCGCTTCGTTTTGCCACAGAGAGGCAGTGTCTTAAATTGACTTTCTGTGGGGATTTGTGCCCCTAATTCTCAAATGGAACCACAAATTTGTAACAACTGAGTCAGACCACAAAAAATCGATTTAACCCTCAAAGAGCCGGGTTATTTATCTCACTGCACCCCTAAGAACTCGCTGTGCCACACCCAAATTCTTTAAAACTTGGTATGAATATGTATTTTGTATGGTTTTCTGTATCTGTTGTTGAAGGCCAAATAAATAATGATAATAATAATTCCACTCTGCGCTTGCACTTTACCAATTGTCTTTTAGATACAAGCAGTAACCAAGCAGAAACATATTTGTTCATATAGTTATGCTGTTCAATGGCATTAATGTGAATGAAGCCAAAACCAAGAAAAAAAATTCCACAAATCTAAACTCATTACAAACATTCAAGTAAAAAAGAAAAATACCCAAGGCAGTTTTGTCTATACGTCCAACGGCTTGGCGTTTTCTGCCAAGTTGGACTGCAGCAAAAGAATTGATCTCTTTGTATAAATGCCGTAATGAAAATGATTCAAATAAAACACAATATCTTACAAACAATTTGGCTATTTATTCCAAAAATAACTCTAGAAGAAAGCGTTTGATAAGGGCAACAACTGAACACGAACACTTAGGGCACACAGCCTAATCAAAGCCTGTGCAAGCATTAAACTTGAAGTTGTTGTCAGATCATACCAAGCACCAACGATAGCATGAACGTTCAACTTCCTGTGCTGCAGTACACAACGTTTTAACGATGCAGATTACCAGCGAAAAGTTGCCACGATGAGCATGGGGTACAAAGAGGGCTTATGTTTGTGATATAGGTGGTGCATCAAGCATTTGCTATGGCTATGGAAATACCGGACATGCCAGAAAGCGGTAATTGCTATAGCCCGGGCAGTTCAAACTCCTTCTGTATTCATCCTCCATGATTTGAACAACCAAAGAGCACTGACCTACTGGACACGACATGAGTGAACCCACTGCCTTGTTAAATTACGTGGAAACCTGGAAATTCGAACTAAGCGTCTTCGATCTACATGTATACTATCTGTGTAAACAGATCTATGTGTCGATATTGTTCATTGATTTGTTGTCCATACAGTAGCCAACACGAGAGTCTATAAGGCTGATCTATCGAAGGCCCTTATGCCAAAGTAAAGGGGCGCTTGTTGAGTACCCTATGCATTTATGGATGTCATACAGCGAAAGGACAACTTCAGGGAGGAATCGTTGCTCACAAAGGAGAGAAATGAGTATTCGTGCATGAAGAGATAAATGCAAGGTTTCGCCCAACAACCCCCATGCGCCATAGGGGGTGTGTGTGGGCGTTCAAGACCAACATTAACACTTAACAGTGCCTGCAGAATATTCTGAAATGCGAGGGCCGGGCTTGGGGTCGTCTTTGGCTTTCATTCAAGGATACATGCGATGAATTTCATCTGAGACTCATCTCTAAAGCATCTTGACACTCTTCTTCAATGCAAGAAAACTTTTTAGAAATCTTCTGGAAGGGGCACTTTTTGAATATTAAAAATTGTTCAAGCCAAAAATCTTCAGTTGTTCAGTGATATAGTACTAACGCTGTGATGCAAACAATGTCAGACACTGTTCGGCTTACACTTTTTCATTAATTAAATTTGCTGGATTTGTTTCCCAACACACTGCTCTGAGAAAAGAACACTCGCTGGCTGATCATCATATACTGACCTAGTTTACTACAAAAGAAACGGAAATGTACGACAGCAAAACATTTAAATAAACCCTGTTCATTAATTAATTCAACACACAGCGTGTGCAAAAAATCATACTGAAACGGGAGGATTGAGGACAGACTGTCACAGAGTTAACAAATTAATGCGACACTGATGAGGTTCAGTGCATTATGGAGTGACGTCAGAGTTTTCCTCGCAAAACTTTGTCTTCAGCATAAAACCAAAAAGAATCCAAAGTGCGATTTAAAATAGAGAAACAAACGATGAAAATAGAGTTATTGAAACACAAAGTTAAGAATTCAAGGGCTGTAGTAGTACAGTTGCGGCTTTTCATATTTGAGCATAGAACAAAGAACAGTTTGGCAAACTTACCGAAAACACTAGTCTCTCAGTGGTCTTCAGCTTACTATGAGCGGTGCATTGAGTTTAAGGGATGCAATGTTGCACCACGTATTTCTTTTTATTCTCCAGTGAATACACATCATCGGATTAGGCCTATGCGTTGACGTCATCGCGCACTTGTCAACCAGTAAGCCACGCCACCTTTATGGGTGCATGCCGATAAATAGATTCACAAACACCAGCGACAAATCCCTATACTTCAGAATTCTTTTAAAGTACTCACTGTTTAGGCTGCAAAGAAAACGTGATGCTAAACGTGTTGCTTTTCATTTTCCTTTCAATTTTGATCGGTTGACCGGTGACTTTTTGCGAAATTCTCACCCAAAGCAAGCTACCCCTAACACGAGGGTTATTTCCCTAACTGGGAAAACTAGCCGTTTTGAAAAGGCATCCCTCTGCAAAGCAGTGCGGCTACGTAGTGCCAATGTCGGACCTGATCGCATCCAAATTGCTCAAAACTATTAAATTTGCGTCTTGCGATTGGTCTGGTGCACGCATATCTAATCCATCGTTCTTGATTGGCACAAAACCAAATTTAGGCTTCACATCTATCTCACTGAGACACGATCTTACCACGTCCTGAAAATACCAGAAGGGCGTGGCTAATCGTGGTGAGATCTTCTATGTTTTTAGAACTGACAGGAACGGTGTAATGTCTTCATAGACGGGGAGGCCGTGCCAACATTTTGAACATACATAGCAGGGTCGAATGGCCTGTGGTCCCAGCGCAACAACTTAATATACAGACGGCATACACATTGACTTCGTCTTGGCCTAACAGCATCATAGTAGGATCTACAGACGAGGTATAATCGCAGCTCGATCGGGAAGAATTAGGCCATTCCCAGCAGCATCTCTGTCCACTAATCTTAGAGGCGCAGGCTGGGAGAGAACTTACGGGGTGCAGAGTTTTTGCTAATGTAGGATATGCTCGGCAACGTGACGGCAGCTTTCTACAAGCGTACCGCCCACGTCTTACACCCAACAACGTATCACCAGGTGATATCGTCAGGTTCTTCGCTCCCACTTGTTTCGAAAGAGTCGAGAGAACTCCAGTAGCCTGTATGATCACACACAAATAGATAATCTCCGCATCATCTGAACAAAAATTTCCAGAAAATTTCATCCATGCATTTGAAATTTTGTACCTTTAACGGCACACCTTAACTGGCTGATCAACAGGATGACGAACGTGGTATATCAAGAGTGAAAGTAGAGCAAGTCTAGAAGTTTTCTAGGGAGGGGTTTCAGGATGTTTCGACGGGGGTAAAACGATCCCAAGGGTTTAAATCTTTTTCATCGTCGCTACACCTGTGTGCTAAATGCTTGCTCTCAGTTGCCATACACACTGTGCACCCTGTAAGAACAATTCTTGAGGATGAGATGTTTGGAAGACAGTATTTGTCGCAAGACGAAACTGAATACCGTTTAAAAGGTTGTAATACCTATATTACACGATGACTTTTTAAGATTAGGGATACCAAATACGCATCGCTCCTAGTGTGGGCAGGAACTTTGAGGGGACGCCACTCGAGGGTGGAATTGCCATTCCTTCCTGAATGGTGGTTTTGTCGGTGTGCTCTTATAACCAGTCTGAGCAAGTGGTCAGCATATCGATAAGCTTCTTAGCCTGAGCCTTAGCCGCCGGATCCGAGGTGATTGCTTCCAAGATCGGCTCGATGACCACAATCTCAGCTATCATTTTGCAGCACCGATCCTTACCAAGACCCACAGAGACAACTCCTCGATGCCTGAGGCTAACGCTTCTTCCGCTTTAGCTACGGCTTTAGACGCGGTTCGGAACCAGACTCGAAGTCGGCACTGATGGCTTCAGCTGTCTCGGCGGCTCCAGCAATCCCTTCGCAGGCTTCTGCGGCCGCAGCCCCTGCCTCCGAGGCCGCTGCTCCAGCCTCTACGCCTAGAACGATACCCATTAGGCCTATTACTACAACAGTCAGATGCATCTTTCAACAACGTTCGGAAAGCTTCCAATCACTTTGATGGGGCAGCTTGGTTATGTTGCTAGCTTAATAATTAACTTCTGACGGGTCACGTCACATGAATTAACTCCCAAAGAATTTCTACGGTGGCCCTGGGAAAACGCTTTAAGGTAAGCCTTTTTAATATACAATGTTTTACCTTCAAAGAAAGAAAATAAAGAAAACACAGGCTCATTTTTTTCTGATATCACTTTATTTCTGCACAATCCTTTCGATATAGTTTTGTATAGGCAACCTGTATTAGAATGACCAGGGTACAAAATTACCCAGTTACAATATTTCAGTATAGATGTACATGAAATTATTTAATGTGATCCTTCCACCATCATATATCGTACAGTGTAGAGAGCGTATCAGACACATAATGATAAGCGCTTTTATCTTTAGTAAACAGATACATCAGGCGCGATTCTACGGGGGTGGGGGCTGGGGAACTTTATCCCCCCCACAAAAAACCCTTTGTCTGTCCTCCACCCCCCAAAAATCGTAAAATGTTGGTCCGGAAAATCTTGGACTCGCTATCTGCATTTAATTGAAATGAATAGTCCATGATTACTTAGAAACGCGCCAGGGATATGAGCATTATTTCCGTAGCCACATATATATCTGCTCGTCTGGTTTTGTAAGGAAACCAATTTTCCAAAACATCATCATGGCTGGCAACTTCGCCTGGTATTCTGCATTGGCAATGCTAGCTGTTTTCAATGGTAATCTGGTCTCGTTGCATGCACTTTACAAGTTACCACAATGTTATAATTTTCACAAATAATTTTCACAAATAAGATCATGCTCTAGTTAAGTCATATCAAATGCTATGATCGCATTGCCAAAAAAAGGCACATTTGAAAAAAAAAACTTTTTTCATTCATTCATTACATAAATTTCACTTAATTTTGAATTACTCATAGTTCTGAAATCAGAAGAAAATGAAATAAATTGTGCAATCAAGTGTCATTTCTAGTTCAAGATATCAGTCATTAAAACATCTGTGAAACAAAAATCTTGATACATGAATTTCTGTGTGATTTAACTTAATCTGATTAAACACCTTGAGTAAATGACATGAACAGTATATAATGAAATTCAGAGGTACACGTAAATTACTTTAAGCTGCGAGGTCACTGGTCCCAGCAAATATCAAGCGGTGATTCAACATTCAGTAAACTAGTCTTGATGTCTTAAAGTCAAATTTAGTTCAATACAAATCAGCTGTTTTAGTATCTTAAACTACTAATGAGTATAATTCGCTCGGTGAAGCAAGGAATATAGGTAAGAATCAATCACGGAGTCAGTGAGACAAACGGTATAGCATGATATGAAAGAATAATGCTTTGCTACTTGAACATTAATAACCTCCAATAGGTAACAGTTTGACAGGTACATGTAGTATTCAAACAGAACAGGATAGAAACATCTATTATATAACTTCCAAGCCTCTGCGTATTAGGGAGTAATACATGTACATTGTCTTTCTGAATATAGTCGGTAACAAGGATATAACTCCCACTGATTTGAGTTGAAGAAGTATAGATCATCATGACAAACATTCAAACCCATAATATTATTTCACATTCAGCAAAATTCCTCTTGTACCAAACATGGATATTTGATCGATCCGTCACGATCAGAGAGAAGGTGAGAGGGGGGCAGGGGGTAACTGGCCATGCATCCTCCCCAGGACAATTTTTGGTTCTTTGAAATAAGATGTGCAAAAGGCATTTTTGAGGACCGTTTTCTTTCCTCTTGGTAACTTCTTATGAAAAGTCCTCCTCACCCTCTAGTAAGGCCATAATAAAAAACTTTACATAGCGAAATCCCTCTTTTGTTTGCACCACCAAAAATTACTTCTGAAATCGCCCTTCTGATGATTAAGTTCTCAAAAAAGATCAGTTCTCACTATTGACCAGTCCAAAACTACTTAAACCGGCGAGTTCAAGTACAGACTCTGTAACGGTGGCCTCTATGAGCCATATGGCATGTTGCAATCTAATCTGCTGTTTCAGAAGAACATTTTTGCTTATTCCCTTAAAGCATATGACAAGGACCTTGGTTCTCACACAGCCACAGATTACTCACGTAATGAGCTGTAACAGAGAGTTTCCACTGTTCTTCAGTATTCCATCTGCTGTCAGCAATGAAGTGCTTGACAATATACACTTCAATGATTACACCAACTGGCAGACATACATGTTTGTCGATGGCTGACAAAAAGCAGGCACTTCGGTTTTTTTTTATAATGTGAGAAGACAAATTTGGCAAATTTCATTTCGCTCCCCGCAGGAAGTGCGTAAAAATATCTAGTCCCTTCCCTCATGGAGTTAATGTAAAGAATTCCCTCGTTTTGTGCCCCACCCTTTCAAAATAAAGATTACTTTGCCTAAGAGCAGCTCAATGGATTGAGTGCTTTATAAATGTTGATCATTATTATAATTAATTATATTAATTATATTAATTATTCTTAAAAATGGGTCATTAGGGAGACATTTCAATGTCACCCTTATGCCCCAGCTACCAGAACGAGGCCAAATTTTGTCCAAATTTTGAGAGATGATAGATTAGGGTCTAAATTGAAAACATACAAAGTTTGGTTCAGATCAGATTAGGGAATATTTAATTATGGGACAGTAAAGTTTGTGCACGTTCTTATGGGAATGTCTCCCAAGTGGCCCATTTTCGGTAAACAGTATTACTATTATTATTTATTACTTGTGGATTGGACCTTGATTACACCTACTTGAAGATATCCCGGCAGACCTCGTCCCAGCTGCTCCCCAACTCCAGGCGCCGAGCCAGGGACGGGTGTTCGCTCTCCACCTGGCTAACAAACCTCTCTGCCTTCAGGACAGACTGGGTAATCATCTCCCTCTCTTGGGGGCCGATGGTGGGAGTGCGCGGGCCCTCCAAGAAGCAATTCAGGTACAGGATGACCAGGTAGGTGGCCACTAGCCGCTCAATTTTTAAAGCGACCTCCTCCCCTATTTGCAAGCCATGGATGAAAGAGGAGAGATAATCATGTTGGTGCAGGTCAAAGCTTGTAGTCTGCTACTGTGGACATTTTATCCCTTTGATTTTAATTAAAGTGTTACTTCAAAATTAATCCCTGGAGGTTGTTTCAAAGTAAGTTGACCCATACTTGTATCGGTTGGGCAAATCTGAAGAGAGATTTTTTCTGGGAATCTGAAAGAAACCTGAGGTAACACACCTTCTCACTGCTTCCTCAGGAAATTAAAAAAAAAACAGTACCTGGCCTGGCAAACAGTTTGAGAAAAAAGTAACCAGATTGCCACAAAAGGCTAAACAAAAGGTGCTTCTTAGGGCCTTTCACAGACAACTACTTCTTCAGTATGATGCTCAGAGCATCAACAAGCCATGTTATCAACTATGACAAAGACGATCCTTTGTAACTTTACTAATGACCTGACTTGTGATTTGATTTGATGCTGACCTGCAATTTACAAGTGCCTAACCTGCTTGTTCAAGGACTTGCCTGACTTGTAATTGGCCTATAGGTGAAACAGACTTGTGAGTGACAGTGATAGACTTGTTGTCGACCAGATTGATAATGAATAACCATCTTAGAAAAGGTATGTGGAGAATTTCTTCAATAGCATTAATGTGCTGTAGAAATTGTCTCTATACTTTCCTATAGATTCCACAGATAGAAACTCTTCATTACCCAAGGGAATATTACTGTGAAAATTGGCATCACCACCGTTTGACTTCAGCAGGACAGTTTGCTTGTACAACAAAAGGTATCAGATGTTCCCAGCTAAGGACAAACAAGATGTCGAAATGCAGACAGTCTAAGAACTGAGGGAGGTATATCCACTTAAGAATGTTGCTGTCAAAGTTAACATTGGCGGAAATTGTCAGGAAAATCTTAAAATGCATTGAAGCATTTATACAAGCCAATCTATTTTCAGCTCAATCTTTCTGGAGACATAAGGAGTGCATTTTGAATCAGTGAGTTGTCCTTTCATGACCAGTCCCAAATCTTCATTGGTTCCATTTACCATCCCGATTTTGCCAGCTGTCCATACCTCTAACATCTGAAAGGAGGGGGCAGGGCTTGTCAATGTCAAAATATTCCTTGCCTAGCCAATGCATGAAAGCTGTTTCACAATACCGGAGCCTAACTGTGAAATTTGCCCCCCCACCCCCAATCGTGGGGTACTGTTGAACTGACTCCCAAATTAGACTAAAAGGAGCACACATATAGCAGGCTAAAATGATACCCATTATTTATTTGATGGTATGACTGTAGGTAGTTCTTGCTGCCTCTTCAGCATACTGAGCTGAATGACAGGAACTCTCGCCACAAATTATCCAGAACTATACAGACATGTCCCTGCATTAACCCTAAAAGAGCCGGGAGGAGGGGAATCCAACCCCCTTGACATTTTTCTTGATATCATGGCAGAGCATTTTTTAGGGTCTAGCCTGTAGACGTTTTTAGAGTACATGTAACTCTTTGCAATCATTTTGACACAAAATTTTTGACGTCAAATATACTGTTCTTTCGAGACAGGTCAGCCAAAAATGTACATTCCCCCCCCTGGATGAGATGGGCCAAAATAACCTGGCTCTTTTGGTGCTAAACTTCGGCCAAAGCAGGCTTATTTCTTACTTAACTTTTACCCCTGTGCAAAATGGCAGGGAAAAAACTTAAGCAGCACATGCAGCACGTCCGAAGGTTATTAATTTTTTTTTTGGCCTGTCACTTACCTAGCGAGTTCAATCCAGCTTCCTTCAGTAGGTTCCTGACTGGCTTCAGTCGGACCCCAACGAACACCTGAATGCCCGCAAACAGGTCCCAACACCCATCCTGCAAGTTACAAGACATAGGTTGACTGAGGCTCCAATTTCAGGGGAATCATCCCAGGATCCTCAACGCTTCAATGTTTATGTGGAGAATTATCTATCTGATTTGCCTGGAAGATAAGGTCTTGTCTTTCACCAGCTTAAAGATTTTCCTATGTAATTCGGGTCTGAAATCAAAGCAGTGAGATTTAAGCAAACAACTCACTCACCTCGTTCTGTGATTTCAAAAGTCTCATGATGGTTGCCAAACGATAAGTGCCAGGGTGCTTTCTGAATCCTGGGATGTAGAACAAGAACTTTTAAGGGTAGTCAACTTTGCAAAGTTCTTTATCATGATTCCAAATGTTGAAAACAGCAAGAGGAAATGTTTCCGTATTTAGTGTACTGAATAACAGGAAATTTGTACAGCGAAAAATATCACTGAAAGCAGTCTCTCGCCTCCACAACAGTGTGATACAAATGCTACAAAGTGTATCTTCATCAGTTCAGAACCTGCACGACTCATGCACCTTTTATAATCTTCATATTTCCCATCATTCAAATTAAGTCTCAAGAGCAACGCAGAACAAAATCAACTTTAGTTTTCTCGGATAAACCGTTTTCTTTTTTTTTTGTCGCTCAAATGGAAGTTATTTCCAAGGATGGATTTGCACCAGGGTGATGTCAATAAATTTTAGATTTTTTTTCTTGAAAATAGTTGTTTGTGGTACCCGCTGCTACATCTGACCAGCCAGCCGACACCGGCAAGCTCTGTAGTGGAGTGGTTAAGACACACTGGTAAGCAGGAGGTCGTAGGTTCGAGTCCCACCCAAGTACACTTGTGATTTTTCACAAGCGTTTGGGGGCAAACACTGAGTACACAGTGTGATAATACACGTCGGGCAGGGCAAAAAATATATAATTAATTGACAAATGGAAGTTGTTCTAAGAGTACATAATAAACGTGAAGTTGGCCATTCTTTCAAGAAGCAAGAGTGAACAAACTGGAGCCCATTATTCTCTTAAGTCAACTATTCAGACCATGACAAACATCAAAGTGGCTTCAGAAGTTGAGCAATATTGAACAAAACAAACTCCTTTATTTCTCTTTATGATAACTAATTGGCTTTATTTATTTTAGTCAATGAAAAATCTTCCTGGACAACCACTAAAATCCTGACAGATGTCAGGGTGGCTTCGGCAGAGGAGGTGAACTTACCTGATGACTCCCTTGCTTCAAAGCCCAGTGGCGCACTAATGGCTTCGCTTATCTGGTCATCCATTGCATCATGGTCCCTGGCCATCTGACTGGGAGGGACTGCTGGGGGCAGTTCATCATCACAGGGTCGGCCCTTGCCAACAGCAGCGCTGGCTTCCCGTCCTCTCTTTTTTTCAGTTCGACGTTGGACTATTTGCCAATCGAATGCAGCAGATGTTTCCATCTCATCTTGGCCATCTGCCATTTCTGTCAGGACTGAAGCATCCTCAAAAGAAAGACCAACCTCCTCAGAAATGTAATCTTCTGCTTTGCCTGACTCCAGAGATATACTGTAGGTCGGTAACATGTAACCTTTCTTCTTTTTCTTTGTTGCCCAGAGTTTTGCTGGGGCTTCTCTCTCACACGGCTCATCCATCTTGGCTCTGGCTGTATCTTTCTGTAGGCTTCTCCTCTGCTGAATGGGCCCCGGACGTTTTCCTAGAGCAACGCCCTCCTCACTAATCACTGCAGATTTCACTGTGCCCATTGTACTCCGGGCCACTTTTAAACCAGTAGCAGGTTCAGGTGATTCCTTGGAATCTTGTGCTCTACGTCCATGGAGTGGACTGACTTTTTTTGCCTCTGGTTTCTTACCAGCCCGTCGCTTTGACGCTCTCTTCATCTCACATGGTTGGGTTGACGTACATGTAAATGAAGCAACAAATTGTGCTTCAGGCTCTAGGACCGACACAGAAAGTGTGGGTAGAGGGAGTATTTTGGGGCACACCTTGTCACTTGCCAGCTGAAGCTCTGGGACAGCCCTTCTTAATGGGAGTGGGGGTGGAACAGCTTGCTGGGCATTAATTGGAAGGGGGGGAGTAATTCCTATCATGACGCCGGTATCTAATGGGAGCCTAGGAAGGCTAGCTGCCACCGGAGCTGCTTGTCCAAACATACCAGAGGCAGCAAAGCCAGGTCTTGCTGGGGCAGAGGTGGCTGTGGGTATGGCAGCCGTGGGTGGAGGCTGAAAACTTCCGAAAGTCATGGAAGGTGCAGCGGGGGCTGATGCTTCAAATGAGAATCCTGCCGCTGCTACTGCCCTTGGTGTGAAATCAGCAAATGAAGACTCATCAGCCAGTGACGGAGGCTGGGCACTTCCAAAACCACCAAATGAGGTAGTGGAGGTTGTTGCACCAAATGAGAACCCTGATGCGGCTTCTGCTCTTGGTGTAACATCTGAAGATGTGGCTTTATCACCCACTGCCTGGGGACCAGCACTTCCAAAACTTGGGGTTGCTGCAGCAGAGGCAGCTGCTCCAAATGAAAACCCTCCTGCCACTTGTGATCTTACCAGGTAATCAGCTGATTCAGTGTCTCCCAAGAACTCTCCCATCATTCCGGGAAGGCCTCGGGGCTGCCCGCCCCACGCTGAGTCTAGTGAGGAGTATCCAGCGGCTGGAGTAGAAGGCGTTATAGCCTGTTCTGATATTCCCTTTGCTCGTCGGCTTGAGGGTGGAGAGGACAACCTTCTATAGGTTGCAGGTTCCAGGGAATGCTCAACTGCTTTAAAGGACAGACCCGGAAGCAAATTTACCGTTGCATGCTCTTGTTGCTGTGTTTGTTGCTGTCCTGTGGAGGTGAAGAAACCGGTGTTTACCACATCTTCCACCAAGACCTTAGCATGTGCAGGGGGAGCTGCTTCTTTTGGTCGTATAGACACTGTAAGTTGTGTATGACAAGAATGAGAAGGTTTACACAAGTGATTCTGCCAGATTAAAGGAGCGTGCACAGGAATCCAGCCTTAGCAAATTCAGCTCTTGAGCTCTTTGCTTTTTTAAACAAGGCTACATACATGTAACTTTGATTAATCAGGCGCTTGGGATTATGGCCAACACTTTTCATCTGTCATTTGGAGGCAAACAAGCCTGCGACACTAGGCATTCCCAATCGAGCTACAAGTCTGATCTCAGGCACTGAATTCAAAGGAGTAGAGAAGTGAAACAGGAGTGCTTCCCCCCCCCCCCCCAAGTTTGATTGTGGGTGTGAGTTGGGACTTTGTGCTGGTCTCGGTTGGAGCTCTGCAGGGTATAACAGCAGAAGACCATCTTGTCTGTCACAAGACTTGCCCCAGCTTAACACTTGATACAAGACGAAGGCTTTTTCAGTACTGCTTGCTGGGTACCCCCTGCTTGGTTTGGGGATTTTAGTCAATGATAGCATTCATTTGTGGCTGATGTGTGATTCACTCACGAACAATTGTTCATGCATCCTTAAAAAGGTTATGCTCGAAAAAACCCTACTTGGTAATAAACTTTCCTGTATTAGATTTTACAGCTCAACAGCAAATATACAACAGGCATAAAGGATGGTTGGCATAAAGTGATTCTGATTTTTGCATTCTGGAAGCAGATTTAAAAAGAAACTTTTTACTTACTTCTGTCGCTTTCTAACTTTTGTTCTTCTTTGTCTGGTTTCTTTTTCAGCATCTACAGAAAAGAGAGATAAATGAAAGTTCAACTCCATTTCCTTACAATACCTTTTGAGAAAACAAGGTAGAAATTCAGACTGTCGCAGACATCCTTCCTGTGCTTTCAGAGGCCATGGTGTTCCAAATGAGGGAATACATGTATTCATGATGGTACACTAGCCAGTAACTGATGTGTCGTAAAATAATCCATGCACTCAATCTCAATAGCTCAAGGCTTGAAGAGTGGAGATTGATTCCAAGTGCTAAGGCTGAACGTTTATTGACTGACCATCGATGACCCATGTGTAGACTCGAAGTTTGACAGCAGTGTGCAAAACATGAATTAGTTTGGCTGGGGGAATCGTACAGCGGCTAGAGTTAACTCTTTTCCAAATCTGTTGACAATCTTGGTATCATTTGATCCAAACATTCCAGTCAGCAACATTTCCAGTAATACCCTCTTTAGGGTGTTTCTGCATAGTATACACAAGGGGGGGGGGTTTGAGAGAAATGATCGCTGTCGACAAGTGACCAACACAGTACACCACTACTACAACGGGATCCACATAAAATGTTCAGCATGCATGTAGCTGTCATCCTGTACAGCGATAATCAGTCACTAATGCACCCTCTCCTGAATCCTGCCCAGTCCAACGTGGGATGGTTTGCCTACCAAATGTATCTGCGTGAGAATTTTGAACCGACATTTCTGACTTACACATAAACATCAACACTGAAAATTGGGCCTTGACGCTCACTGTTTCACATTCAATTATAAATGTCTGATCCTAGCAACATAAGAAATGTTAGGCAAAAGCTGTTAAAACTAAAACAAAGCAGCAACTAGATGAAGATTTCTGTCACACAGCTAAATCAGTCTCTCTCCGTATTTTCTATTTTGATTTTTTAAGCAAGGCAAAATTCTTGCCTTCGGAGTAATAACACCAAAACGATTTTCTGCGTCAGAGCTGCTCATGTCACATGCATACTGTGCATTACTTGGAGGCTGATTAACACAGCCACCTGTGCACACTCAAAGATTCATTGTGTAGAGCATGGGCCACATGTGACACAGACTGCATGCAGTGTTGGCTGTTGCTCTTTGTATGATTTCTTGAGCTACGAGTTTCCTCACCTTTCTGGATATTATAATCGGTCCTAATTAAACTGCTTTTTAATTAATGTTCATGTAACTTTTCAATGTTCAGCAAAGGTACACTGACAATTTGGGAATCAAAAGGGATGTTTGGTGAACCCAGCTGTTCGGTACTGTGCTGGTCGGTGTAGTGGTGTTGTACTGGGTATATAAAGATTGAACATACTGCATGTGCCATGTGTACAAGGTACTAACATAACCAGCGAGTTGCCATTACTTTAAGGGCTTTGGAAACAACATGCCTAGCTCTTGGCCAAATTTGAAGCCAGTTCATGGTTATAATGACTGGCATTACGAAAATAGTAAAGTTATCTCCATGGCTGACTTACAGGTTTATCTTCTCCTGCGACACTTGCATGTTTGGACTCTTTTTTTCGAAACAGCTCCCCGCCCCCTCCAATATTTTTCCTGCAGCTCGAAGGAAAAGCTATTTTATGTGGAAAGGATCAGACAAATGAAAGGTTATGTAAGATTGAAGGTGCACAGGTTCTCACCCAGCTAATTCGAAAACATAATCAAAATTTTGGCTTAATTCACCCATTTGGAAATTCTTGCTGCTTACAGCACTAGATACAACTTCTATTTGCCCACTGCTCAGAAAATATAGCCAGTGTTAATTGAAAAATTTCATTACTCGGTAATAACCACTTGCTGCCGGGTGCTAATAAAAATGCAGCGCACACATACAGGGCAATTTTCAAGATTTTCAGTTTTCAAAATTTTTCAAAAATTCATCATTTTATTTAACGGACATTTAAACACACATGAAGGGCTCTTTGGGCTCTACTCTAAGGTGACAGGTAGCCTTCATTGATGCCTGAGTATTTCAGCCAGGCCTGCAGCCTTGTAAAAATAGCCCAGATTGTGCGGTGTTATGTAAGATTCTTTTGGCCCCGAACCTGGAACAGTGCGCTGCTGACCTCTTTTCAATAGGGGCCAGATTAGCATGCAGCGGTGCTGTGTGGCTCATCGCTGCGGTGGTGGAGCGCTTTAGTCCCCGGTGGTAATCCGCTCAATCTAAATGCCCCACACCGTGGTATACTGTTACAAAACAAGGCTGGATTATCTCCACTATTGAGAGTGAAAAAATGTCGGTAATGCCCAGCAGCTCAGTCTTTTGGGCTGAGCATGGTCTTTTGTTACAAGGTCCAACTCTTTGTACCGGTTTCGGGCTCCCCGGTTTCATGTATAAAGCCTAGGTACTCAAAAACAAACCCTTACGGAGTGCTTGTTTTTCCTCCTCCAAGAGGAAAAGATCCCGCTCCATTTCCTCTTCAGAGCTCTCTGATTCATCTTGAAAGAAAACACAAACAAATGATTAGATTCTTAACCCAACGGTGAACCAGTGCATTAAGGGTTTCTGAGAGACAGACTAGGGCAAGGCAGGCTGAACTCAGCGCCCTACATATCTTCTGCTCAATACTGGGAGAGGATGGGCCAACAGGTTGTTGTCTGGTGATGTCTCACAGCTATTCAACTCATTTCAGACACATCTACGAACATAGATTGACACAGCATTCCATGCAGAAGAGAAAACTTCGGGTCAAGTTGGGCACAGCAACCAATGCGAACTCCCAAACTTTGGAGACTGTGCTTTTCTCCATTATAGATGCGTGATTTGAAAGACAGCTGTCCAGTTCTGGTCAGCTACCAAGCTGATATCCTGGCTGAATACCACTGAGGATTTCTTATAATATGCTTGATTGGTAAATTAATAATGCTTGATTGGTAAGCTAGTGTTATTTTACCACATTGGTGATATCACTGGGGTTTAATCAACGACACGCTAAGCAGAAACCGGAACATAGCCATGCTTAGCATCAATATGCTTTCCATCATCTGCTCACCATTCTCATACTTATCCTCATCCAAATCGTAACTTTCCTCAGCGCTTGGCTCCAAATACTCCTCATCATCATCACTCATGTACCCAATTCGAGCAAAAGGATCTGACGCACCCATAAAAGACGGTGAAGTGGGTACATAGCTCGCTGTTGAGGCAAAAAAGAGATAGGGTGAATAATGAATGAATACACTCAAAGTTCAACACGCGCGACGGCAAATAGACCATGGGCGTTGCTAGGACATGTTCTAGGGGGCAGGACTTTTGTCCTAATGAGAGCAAACTGATGAACCATTAATGGTGGAAGGGGTTCATTCCCTGGTATTTAAAAAAAAAGTCCTCTTCCCCTCCCCCTACCCTGGTAACACACATGCAACAGAGTGTGTCCTGTGACTACCACCAACCCATGCAGACATGTTTCACACGCCCCCCCCCAAAAAAGAAGATGGTCAGTATAAAAATATTATTAATTATGAAAATTGCTTCACACTGACATGACAATTCTCAAAATCCTGCAGGAATGACCTGTTAAAAAAAGGCTTGCATTTGAAAATGAATGGAAAAATGATACATGTATTTATCACTTTAATGACTAGCAAAGGTAAAATTCTACATAAGCTTTCATAGCACAACTACTTCATCAGATGCAACGCAGTAAACATCATTAGGCAAGGTATAATACAGGCCCTGTATGATGGTCTAGACAACAGGTGATGATTATGTCATTGCATCTAATGAAGTATCTATTGCTATGAAAGCTCATGCAAAAATGGACCTTAGTTGGTCATCAAAGTGCTGCATATATTTTCATTGTTGATATCTGACTAATATGGCTACCCATCACTGTGTTCAATATGAAAGAAAAAGAAGAAAGCAACAAGATTTGTAATTTCAACTTGTCTTGGGGATGGATGGAGCACTACTGTGCGTTTAGTCCACAGGTCCATCACGTTTTGCCCGGGCTATCAGAAATTTAATGTGAAATAGGGGAGACACCCTTCACCAACTCAGAACTGACGGAGTTGATTAAAGATCAACTCTGTTCAGAAGCAACAGGGTGCAGTGCCCAGCCCAAAGCTGATCTCCCAATTTGAATTCAGCCCCAGCGCCCTAGTAACATTGCCCACAAAAAGCTGCACTGGCTTTACAAACTTAATGGGTGAGCACAGTTTACAATTAATAAATAAAGGGAAAACCATTTTGGAAACAAAATGGCATCACAACCCACGCCATGCATGAGCCACTGTCATCTTCATCAGTCCACGGAAAGGGCGCTGGCTGGGCCACTGTGTGAGAATCTAACCGGCATTCAAAATCAATGGTCTGGTTTGTCTTGCTGCAATCCTGATTGATGATTGCTGATCCGACGCAGCAATAGTTGCTGCGGATTACATTTTAAGGGGCCCAACTTGCAAGATGGGCTGGGAAAGATTAAAGCTGGCAGCGTGTGCCATGGACGGAGAGAAACAAGAAGTTTCTTTTGTAGATTTAAAGCATTCAATGAACTTCTCTTACCGCATGTCTTCAGAATTCTTTTAGAATGCACTTTGCAATTACGGAACATTACATCTGATCTGATGTTCCTGGAACATGTACACAGTACCACAGACATTCTGTCTCCAAAATGTGAAATAAATGCCGTACGATAATATATATTCAGTCATCAATGTCATCTGATGTGCTTGTGAACGGGTCTGCCTGTTTTTGCACAGATATAGATCCCATGATCCGGAGCAGGATCTGTGACGAAAAAACAATGGGCCATTGACTCACGGCTTTCAGGTATCTCTGGTGCAACACATTCCAATGTCATATTTATCCAGTCTGTAACAAAGAAGTAGATAGTTGTTATTAACATGCTGACTGCCGACTACAAGTATACTAGTGGTAACAGGTGTATGGATTTTGCCACTATGAGTATACTTAAGGAAAATAAAAGGTTATTGTAATGTAAATTAGTGAATTAAGTTTTATGTTGATTTTTAAATAATCATTGTTTTATTTAATTGATCCCTGTAGTTTGTAATATGTAATGATTTTTAATTAGGGCCTATCGGGTGTTATAGTTTGTAGTGTATATTGTATAGCGCTCTGAGATAATTTTTATGGAGCGCACTTTATAAAAAATTATTGTTATTATTAAATTGAATACACCGGCATCACCAAAAAACACAACAAATACGCTGCTGGCAGTGTGAAGGGTGTACATCTGTAAAACAATTGTGCTCCAATAGAAACCTGAAGAGTACCTGTATGCATACTATAGAAACACCCTACGAAATCAAGTGCAGTAGTCAACAAGTTCAACCTGCTTCATGTCAACAGGACACACAGAAAACGTGATGATTACAGTGACAGTTCAGTGGAATAAAGACATCTAAGAATGGATTTGCCACCACAAGTAATTTGACACCCCATTTCAAAATCTGAAACACTGAAACCGAAGTAAATGTAAAAGCATCAATGAATATACAAGTTGCATCTACTGCTCAGAAAACTGAAATCAATTAAGACTTACCTTCCTCTTCCGGGGAGCTATAAAATGCATCACCTGCAAGAGAAAATACAGATCATCTTGACTGAAAGGAGGCCAAAGCTATCAAAGAGTGCCATTGTAAAAATATGTACAGTTGAGAATTCTTAGTTCACACCACTATGCAGAGTGCTACAATGCTAAACATGTTGCTATGCAACAATGCCAACAAGTTTTCAATACCCGACTACTGCGATAGTGAAATGAGAAGGGAACTTGTGGTAATGATGGAAGGAAACTGCTGTAACCAATCGATGCATTCAAGCCAAAATAGAATTATTGCACTACACCGTACACACACACTGCTCTACAGCTGCACATGGAAAAACATTGATGTTAATGCCTTTCGCGAGTTAAATCTGAATAAAAACTGGTACTCTCGAGTCAATTCACGTGAACGCTTTTCCTTAGTAGTTACATAAGAGACGCATTGCACCAATACACTGTTTTCAATGGACAAGAAGGGCACAAGGGAACCAGTCCATTCCAGAGATGGCGGTCGCTATGCAAAAGCTTGCCCCAAATCACGATGTAAAGCAACAGTGTATTTAGTGTGGGGAATTCAAATTGTTATGTTTATGTGCAATGAGTTAACACAGTGTTTAGGTTTTATTCGAACTCAACTCGCAAAAGGCTTACATGTTTTTGAGACTATATTGCTCATAGTTGATGCAAGCTTGTCTAGACAAAATTTCCTGCCGCAGCACGAGGTTTATTGCCCACCCCTCTACATGCATCACACACACACTTACCACACGATATACGGACATTTGTTTGCCAGTTTCCTGTCGTGTGTACCTGACTAGTGTTGTGTACAGTGGTGTGATTCGTCCATAATTCGCCAGAATTGTCAATTGTGGAAATTTTTGCGCTGATTAAGACAAGTTTTTATCACTTTTTGTGGCAATTTTGATAGCTTCCATCCCCATTTAATCAGTACAAAAAAGACCCCCCTCACCAATTTTTTCCTTGACCCACTGACCCAATTTTTGAGAGGCACGTAATCGTAATCGGAAGCAGACCTTTTTGGCTTTGTCATCCATTTGATATTCACTTCACCTTCGCTTTATTTCCCATATGAACCGTTTCATAGCAGCAATACAGTGCTGCAGTGGATGGAAGCCTCTAAAAGGTATGGCTTGTCAAGTAGAGTCCCAAGACAAAAGTAACAAAACACAATTAATTAACCATGTAACGAGAAGTGATTAGGAAGTACCACACACACATGTACAATCATGGGCTCTCATCGACCACCAGAAATGGGTAAATTGTTCAAATAGTTTTTCAGCTCTTACTCCAATTCATGTTCTTTAGTTTAACCAACCTTCCATGTCAGCAATATAGGACTAAATGCAGGCATAACAGGAAATGGTCAAGTGTCCTACGCAGGACACAGTGAGGCTGCCCGCCATCCAGCCCCCATGGGTCCAACACAAAGGAACAAACTGATTACTGCTGGGGAGTCAAACTGACTGAAGTCCAAAATTAGTGACTCACCAACAAAAGCAAGCACGGGCGTATCTTCAAACAATTCAGACACATCAATATCATCTGTCATTGTGTCCATCCAGTCTGCACACCCCCAAGCCAAAACAAAGCAGAGAAGAAAAAAAGACAACTTAGTGTCCGCAACAAACATAAGGAGTGATAACTAAGGACAATTCTATGAAAGCACACATCATAAGCTGACCAACAGGAGTTACATTATATCACAAGCGCTAATTACAAAAACATTAAGTAAAAAAAAAAACCACTTCCAGTTCCACAAAGCACCAGCAATTAAATGAAATTTGAATATTAAATTCCAAACATGATATAGTTTGACAACGACAACATGGACTTTGGAATACGATTTCCTTTCCCTTGGAAGGACTCTCATTACTCCACATGTGGAAGATTGTGGTCAATGTCTTGTCATGAGCATCGCCGCCAGTGAGACCATTTTTTCTGGACTCCCAAATTTCACATGACACCAAAACAGACAGGACAGAATAGACCTCGTGGGGTGTATGGCTACATGAGGAATTTGTGCAGAGAGATGGGCAAAATACCGGAGAAGTCCTCGTGCTTCACGTTGACACAAAAATCCTGCATTTGCCGAACCACCTGTTGGAGAAAAACAGTCACCAAAAAAAGTCATATTAGCGACATTTTTAACTATGCGCCTGTACCAAAGTTGGTGCGACGATCTCATTCCAATTCCAGAAAAAAAAAAATTCTGAAGCAGCCAAGATATGTGCTGTACGACTATAATCATGTCTGTCATAAAGTAGGAGCAAAATACTTTAAAACAATACCATGATGGCATTCGTTTTGTCATACTTCAATGTGGACCACTGTTTGCAAAATGGTATACCAAAACCGACTTTTAGACTATGACACTACTGGTACGGTTGTATATCAAACATGGCCTGGTGGTAGTTTTGTTGTGAAAACTATATTCAACATTCCTTTGTTGGGCTTTGACACCGTTTTCCAATGATATGGTGCTCAGGGAAGCGTGGCTTGCAACAAATACAGGGTTATACAGCACACAACGTGGCAAATTAACCCTTTACTTCAGGTTTCTTGTTGAGGGGGGCCACCCAGAATAGGGCAGTAGTGTGTAATGTCTGCTTAATGCACAACACAAGAAAATTCAGAAAATACTCAAGGTTTAGAAAAAAGTTTTGGTGTCTGAAATGTCTCCAATAAAAACCACTGGAGATACAATTTTACCCAGAAAAATGTCCCACTCTCCATAGAAAATAAAATCAGGAAAGAAATGCCAAAACCCTTTCAAATCGGACCTCTTTTCATCGTAGTGGTACTGCCAGATTTTGTTTTCTTTTTGGGGGGGTGGGGAGACAAAGTCTTCATCACCAGCAAACTGACGAATCATGGAAGGGATCCATTCTGAGTTATTATCATGCATACCGGTGATTTTTATCCGTCTGTCCTCCCTTTTAACCCATTTCTTTCCCTTGTTTCCCCTTTCCTGGTTTTTGCATTTTTCCTGTAGGACAGGGGGAGAGAGAAGTCACCTTTACCCCACCCCCCCACACACCTGTATTTATCCTATCATATTCGCAGACCTCATCATCAGTTGTTGTTATAAAAATCTACATCAATGTAAAACAAAACTATATATACCCTCTGAAGCACGGGATCTTTTTTATATTTGTCACGGGAGTCATTCAGTTTCTTTAGGATTTGCTGGTATAATCTCTCAGTTCTCAGGACAGAAAAAGAAACTTCTCTTTCTGCTTGGTCCAGCAACTCAGCTATCCCTGCTTGCTCCTCCAAGGTCTAGACAAAAAGGGATGCCGATACTTTATTTTTGAAAAGGAGTACAAAGCAACAAGAGAGAACACAAACTAATCTGTTTCTTCTGTAACTGCTTGGAGGCTCGAACAAAGACTAACAATGTGAAAAGAAGCAAAAGACGAAAGAAACTTTCCTTTCAGAGAATCAAAAGAAATCAAGAAAATAAATGCGATCTTAACAATAATTACAATAAAAGTCCAAATCTAAAAAGAAAAAGAATTTCACTTCTGCAAATGTGCCCCAGGACAAAGGATAAGTATTCTGGCAATTTTGTTTTTACTGTATTCCGGGTATTCCGGGAATTACCAACTGACCGTTGGTACTGCTGCATCTTGGGCCTTGTCCTGCTGCCAGCCTAAGTAAGGCAACGAGTCCACCTCTTCTTTCTTCAACAGGTCATTCACGTCCACCCCGGTTTTGACCTTGCCTTCTTCTGACTACAAAAAAAAAATTTACAAGACTTTTTAACTCCAGCAGAAAGTTTTGGCTGATTTTGTAGGACTAAGAAAGAAACTCCAGTCATGATTAAAGGACCAATATAAAGGCACATTTAGAAGCGAGTGACGACAGAAAGTGTTGTCAGAGAACAAAATGCCACACAATGCTTGTATAGTTTAAGGTAGAAATCTCCTCAATGAGCAAATCCCTTTGCAGATGATTTTCGTCAGTAGTACTCTAGCCCAACGTGCACAGAAAGTATCCAAAGCATGACAAAGGTACACCTTTTTTCACTTTAATAAACCGTCTATATGTCAGTCTGTGACATCACACCAAACAAGACTCCTAATTTGCCAGAATGAAATGTCCCATTGAAGATTACAGAAAAGTCGCTCAGATATGTAAACGCTACGGTTTATTGCCCAGCTGCGAGATTCATTCGCCCTCAGTGTACTAACAGTCCCACAGGATTCCGCTGCATTTAATATTTTTTACCACTTTTCTATGTAGAATGGGCCCTCTAGGTCACTTTAATTTTACGGAAGCACAAAGAATATGCCCTAGGGTTCCAACAAGTGATGAATTGCCCGTAAAAAGTTTATTTTCAGGAGTACAAAACAAAGAGTTTGGATCTTTGGTTCACACAGATATGAGATATTTCTGTGCATCCTTAGTCACAAAAAGTCTACAAAATAACAAAGCCACGTCATCAAATACCAGCTTTGAGAAGCTGTGAAGGTTTCATATCAGTTTAACAAGAGCTTAGAGATTATCCCTCTGCCCGACCTTGTCTCGGACTTCCACGGCGACGAAGCTGGTGAACTGGGTGACGATGGAGTACTTCTTGCTCAGCTCGATGATGTAGCTTTTTTGCTCGGCCTTACGAGCTTCGTGCCGGGTGCGGTCAGCTGCGAGGGCGCCCTCCTCCCAGTCACGGATGATGTTCCGGGCCGTCAGCTGATGCAATATCTTGAATGGGGAACAACAGAGAGGCCGGCTTTCAGAAACTTTCTACACAGTAGACTCTAAACATCTTCAAACCACCTGCAGAGGATGTGTAAAACCTGCACCGAGTTTCTGTGACCTAGCAGGAAGGACTCGCAAGCATGCCAAGGTAGTTTCTGTATTCAGCACTGGGTCATTCCTGCACTTCTGTGATCCCCAATGCTTTTGCCAATGGAATCTACCTAAAACACAAACGCACTGTGGCAAAGCATTGTCATAAATTGCTCCACAACATTGCCTCAGTATGTGTAAAAGGCCATAATGCGGTAAAAGGTGCCAAATAAATCTTGAGTCAATGACTCGAAGAAGTCATATCAGTAGGAATCTTTGTTTTCAAAATATAGAGTTTTCAGCCAAAAGTTACACCTCGTTTGCAGTGATTAAAACTGCTTTGAACTAATTAGATATCGTGTTGGAGATGGTGTTGGCAATATTACTGCTTTCTGTCAAGTTGTGCGCAGTGCTCCCTCAAACCACAACTTTGGATAAGTGTGCGTGTTACTCCTATCTGCCTCGAGCAAAAGCACACCCTCATCAGTTGACAAGAGCCACGTTCGTCAGGAATATTCATTTTGCTGGTAGTAATGCGACTGCAACGCTTGCATTTCCCAGTTGATCGTGAGCTCGCGACGCATAATTAGAACCAAAGGAGCCTCCATTGTGAAGGAAATAGTGCCCTCTCTTGCTCCGACTCGAGGTCCATTCACTGGCTAAGTCTGTTTCCATTACCTTTCCCTGTGTAATGCTGAGTTCATGGGTTGACACCATGGTAGACACCTCTCTACCCTCATTATTGGCTCGCAGAGTGGCCTGAGAAATGAATGCAGAGAGGAAACGTGTCGATAAACAGAACTACACTTCTACCTGACACTAAGCACACACCCAAGTGTGTATTTGCCTGCAACTGAGGACCCTATCGTTCCTCTTTTGTTTGTACTTTAACCGTTTTTTAGAAGACCACCCATATATTTTGTACACAGTTGTCAATCGGGGACCTTCTGTCAGTCGGGGACCTTATTGTCCGCTATTGTTCAGGGTCCCCAATCGAATGCAGAAACAAACTCACACACACCCACACCATGTTCATAAATAAATTAAAGACATAAATTAAAGCGAAATGTTCCAAGCCACCTTTAGAAAACGATTTCTCCAAAAAGGCACTTAATTCATTGAATACCTGGGTGCAGTGTGGGACAAAGCCATACACCACCTGCCGGGAACCGCTGAAGAGGGAGGTGATGTTATTGGGTGCCTGGATAGGAGCCGGGGCGTCATCGTCAAACTGGCACCAGTCCACGCTGACAGAAGACAAGACAGGCTGGGCTGCCTTGCTCAGCTGGGATTTGATCTGCCAGTGTTGGAGGAAAAAAAAGGAAAGACTTGCAAATCGGAAGTACGTTGTGTTTACATAAAAAACAAATGCGAACAATCGCAGGCATTTACACAAATGTGACCCACCACCCAGAACCCAGGTTGAAGACTTGAAGACCTAAGCTATTAGCTGGAAATTTCTCCACTGCAAATTCCACATCAGTCATTGTCAGTATACCGGCATACAGACGCTTCTTATGGAAAATGTGTTTATGAACTGATCAAACCGGTTCTTGGCTGGATAACAAACAAGTCCTTGGCTGTGAAAATTAGTTTACCAGCTTCTGATACTGAATTCAACCTTCCATGTGGATCAAATATTCAAACAGCCTATTACGACACCTCACAACATGCTTTTAGCATGCATTTTCTTACCAGAATAATTAAAATTTCCCTTTTATATTACATTGATTATCGTATCCAAATATTCAATTTTGAAAATAAACCCACAGAATATCTGAATATGCAAGTAATAGACACATCCCTAGCCATCCCTAAAACCGTGAATAAAATAGTGTAGTCACTGACCTTGCCTTCCCACTTGGACTTTGTCTTGCTGTCAAAGAACTCAAAGGCTCCGGCCCCAGCAGTGGCCACAGCACGAAGGAGATACTTGTTGGCTGTGGCGCTGTGAAAAAAAGATGGACGACATAGAGTTCTGATAAATCCACAGACGGGGGAAACCCTATTTCACTGGCTCCTACTCTCACTAAACAGGCGATTCACAACATGAATGATGCTCAGTGTTTGTTTTTCTTGGTACAAACATGAAACTGTTTGTCAACTGCACTATGTGTGCAAACTCAGTTTAGCACTTTGACAAAGTGACATATCCAACAGATGTCGGTGGCGTTTCAAATAGGCAATGTATAGTCTCCAAGGCTCTGTGTTCTGTAACATATTACACGTTGTGAACATGGGCGCACTGTGTACAAATATATGCCAAACGCTCTAGAATTTCTGTTTGACAAAGTGACTTTCATATTTACGAACTAATGTCTCCTTATCAATAACAAAATTGTAAAAACAAGAAAAAATAAAGTTGACCTATCAACTTAATAATATGGGCTATCATATCAGTTAAAACGTTGTCTGTGTTTTCATGAGAAAAGTATGCAAAAATGAAATTTGCCAAAAAATCAATCAGCCATGTGAGCAGATATGTATTAAACTTTGTCACAACGGGGATTCCGAACAAACCTAACACCGAGGGTGAACACCCTGGTATGGCGGCAATTCCGGCGGACAGCCTCCAAGGTTGCGTCCTCGTTACTGACGTGGCCGTCCGAGATGATAAAGATGTTGCACAGCTGGCCTGACTTCAGCATGAAGTAGGTCCGCAGGGGGTGCCAGACGTCGGTGTTGCCCATGGCAGCAGATAAGCCCTGCAGAAAGTTGGTAGCCGACTTCACAGTGTCTGGTGTCTTGGCTTGGCTCTGTGGGAACAGCTCCTCAAAATCTGGAAAACGGCCAATGTCACCTTCTTTCAGAAGCATGAATGGTGCTTTTTGGTCAGTCGCGGGACCCAATGTCTTAATCTAAGGCAAGATATGGTGGTCATCTTTATCTTTATCTAACATTACAGAGAACATAATTTTACTGAGTTTAGTCAATATTTTGGATACATACTTATTGAGAATTACTAGCAGCAGAAACCAATAAAAGTCGTCTTATTATTAGTCGTCGGTCACATTCAGATTTCAAGCACATTTTTTGTTTTCCCATTGAAAGTAAAACAAAAAATGTGCTTTGCCGAAAGAGTGAAATTTGTATACCTGTTCCAAAAACAACGACATTGAACCGCCAGTCCTTGGGCAGATGATGCAGGGCGAGGAGGGCAACCTTCTTGGCTTCTTGCAGGCTGCTCCCTCCCCGCATTGAGTTGGATAAGTCCAGCAGGAGCACCACCTCCGACTGGTCGGTCTGCTCGGCCTCAAACTCCGGGTAGAAGGTCAGCATGCAGGCCTGGCTGTCACTGTCCTCGGGGTGTCTCTCCACCCACATGCGGGGCACGTGGATCTCTGCCAGGCCAATCAGGAGCTGGAAGCCGTCGTCCAGTCCCAGGCAGTCATCTGCAAGGCAGACAGTTGCTTTGCTGGCAGTTTGCTGTAAGAAATAAAACTTAATTTTTACAGCATGTGCAGAAAAACAAACACTTTGACCAAAAATTTTTATGATCAACCGGTAGACAATCAGGAGTAGAAAGAAAAACATTAACCCTAAAACCCTAGGCTCCTGCAGTAGAAAGCATACTGAACCTCACAAAATCCAACAGGTTCATGTACTTGTCTATGTACTTGTACATGCAGGTTACTGTACCAAACCTGATAAACTCCAACAGAATGATCCCGTTGGAGTTTGAGTGATACGGTATGGATGGGTCTATGCAGTATAGGATGACTTGCACTGAACAGTACCAAACCTGACAAAATCAAGCATAGTCCAACACTTGGTACAGCAAGCCAGACACTGCACACAGTGACCTGTGCGTGTCCCCACTCACACAGAAACCAACACCATCTCCCTGGGCCTTTCATCCCAAGTCTCACAAAATTCAACAAAAAGTTCCTCAGGTACGGTACCAAACCTGCCAAAACCTCACAAAACCTGCTGTTGGAGTATGGCAGGTTTTGGGCAGTTAGGGTTAATTAAACTCCTTTGTACCATGACACCGTGAACCATGACAACGGTATTCTTTCACATATGAACAGCCCCTCTCAATACTTACAAGGCCTGTGGACTGACTTTCACATTGACTAGGAGCAGACTTGACGACAACCGGTAATGGTTTTTTTCCCCGCAAGCATAAAATAAATGAACACACTGCTTCTTGGAAATGTTGATTACCTTGCGTTTGATTGGGTGTGTAGGAGATTCCAGACTTCGGATTTCATAAGGCATCTCTATGGCAACATGCACAGATAAGGACCTAGATTGGAAAGCACACACAATGTCCAGCCAAGCTGTCACAGCTAAATGTACTTTGAGAAGATCCTTTGATACAATTATAAATTTAAACATGCTGAATTTCAAAAGGACACGTAGGCCAAAATCTATTAGATGGCAGATGCAGAACAAAAATGGTGAAAATGTTTATCAACCAATACACAAGAATTCATTATCGATGTACTGAGAATAACACAAATGGCTTGGAACCATTTTCGGTTAAGATGATGAAAAACATCAGGCAAAAATCATTAAAGCACTTTTTCCCTTTTTGATATATGGTATATTTATGTTTTTAATTAGGGTTAGGTGGCTAATATGGGCAATTCACAAAACAGTACACTCCCAAGAAACTGGCATGGAGATGCCATAATCCAAGTTTGCAGTCAACAAAAAACAAAGGCATTTATCCATGGAAATTTGTCACATTTTTAGAGTTTTCTGTTGTATGACAAAAACATTTAAAGTAATACTCAAATTACACTTTAAATCTTCCATCCAAACCCCCCAAAAATCGAGAAAAGTTCTCTGTTCACAGCTGGCAAGTAAAATGTGCAGACTGTTTCCGAAGGTGGTCTTTGAGAAAGGCTTCTCTGTGACCTCTTGGTGGCAAACTGTATTGTGACTCACCCATATCATGCTTCTAGCACTCCATCAAGGAAAGCATCATCTTTATATCAAGTACATACAAGTCACACTGGGGCTAGACTCTTTAATATTGTCTGCATCAAAGAGTACTGCCTGACCTGTCGGTGTCTTTGACTTTGACCGTGGTGACGTCGGCCTGCGTCTCCTGGGCCAGGGCCTCGTCCTTCCTCCACGGCGCCACGCTCCCCGGCAGGCCAAAGAGGATCTTGTCCCCATCCACGGCCAGCTCAGCTACGTAGGTGATCTTGATCACTACGGTGGTCTTGGGAGGGAGGTTGCCCACACTCACAGTGAACACATCCTGAGGGAGGGTCAAATAATCAAAATTTTAAAATAACAGCGGAGACGCTTTAACATTTGAAATTTCCCAAGCCGGCTTGATAAAAACTCAGACTTACCCTAAAAGAGAGCTGGGTTTTTTTTGGGGGGGGGAACACTTCATAGTTGGGGTCAGCAACGAGAATTAAGCTGTCTCATGCCTTATCTTTGTGAAACTTGGCATATGAAACATTTACTGTGGTTATTAAAATCCGTAAAAAATTCAATTCAATCCAACATAGGGTTTTGTTAGTATGTTCATTTCGAGTTCATGGTCTCCGGCATGTTGACCTGCATGTGCATTGAGCATGTCAATGAAAAAAAAATTGCATTTTTATGTCCAGTTTTCATAAACTTGGTTCACAATAATTGCAAGGAAATATTGAAAAAAGTCCTGATGGCTGTCCACAAAATAACCTGTGCTGTGACGATACCGGAGGAACTGCTGATAGGGGGTAGATCCCCCCCTTGCGTTTTGAGGGTTGTCTATCCTGAGGGAAGTCTTTCTGTTTTTCAGACTTGGTTACACGTGAGCATTTATACAAATTTAGGAGCCTGGCATCCTCTGACGTGTATATATTTGCTTACTGGCTTTTCTTCATCCATGAGGTAGGCGCCATGCCCCTTGCTGATGGCTTCCTTGTACTCCTTGTGGGCAGTCTCCTTCTCCTTCACTTCACCCACAATGTGCTTGTCATTGATGAAGGCCTCAAAGCCGCAAACTGCCGCCTGCTCATCCAGCGGGAAGACGTACTTGGCTTCTATGGGAAAATCGCTGTCATTTGCGTACACTTGAAGTACGACAACCTGGGGGTTTGGGAAGAAATGAGAGATGTAGCTTTCCAGGGGAAATGTGTGACAGTGCTCAATAACTCCACTTGTATGTGCTCTAACGTGTCTAAAGGCTCTGAAGCCTGGTTTCCGAATTGGCATAAAGCGACACAGAGAGCATCACTGATCAGTCTGAGATGACAGACAGCCATCTGGTAACATTCTGCGACTAACACAAACATGGACACAGTCGGCAAAGTTGGATCGTGTTTGCTAATCAACGGTCTGCGTTGAATCATTAAAGCACAGACACACCTGTACGCCCACCCAACCACACACACATACAGTACTTGTGGGGTATTTCCTTTGTTCTCGTGTACAAAACTCCCACACAACATATAACAATCTTAAAATCACTCCCATTTTGAACCAGATTGACTTTCCTACTTAAGAAATTTGACTGAACGTCCCTTATTTGAAATTCTCCATTTTGTGACAGATGAATGGCACTTGAAAATTCCTTCTTTTTGAGTACGTTTGAAATATCTATTTCATGAAATCCTTGGGGTACCATCTCAGTACCCCACAAGTACCCTATGGGGTACTTCCCATTGTTCCGGTACCCCACAAGCCCCCTATACACACCCATGCAACCAAACACACTGGCATGAGACAAACTCTCTCCTGTACAATGACGTCCCTCCCAATAAATTGCCACATACATATATTTAGCTCACTCTTTCAAGAATGAAACTAAATTGTCAACATTTTTCCACCAAGCGTGGCTAAATTTGTGTGCCTGTTTCCTGAAGTGTTCATTTATGCTCACCTGAGCTGCCAAGTCCAGTAGCTTGGCTCTCGCATGCACAGCCTTGAGCGGAATGGGCTGGTCACTGCTGGAGAGGAGTCCAGGCTGGACTTTATTGAGAGGATCCTCGATGCTCTGTACGTCACTCAGGTCTGAATTGAGAACAAACGGAAGTCAGTGTAGGATGTATGGGGTTGGACAGAAGAGATACAAGAAAATAAAGCACATGCAACCTTGCATCGCTACAGTCCAAATACTACACACCAAGCTGAGCACATGTGGAGTGCAGAGTGGCCCAAAATAACTACTGGGTAATTCCAGAAATTAGGGGTCCACAAGTGTGACATTTTTGTGTCCCAGTCACATTGACCTCTATTATTTGACATGGAAATATCACTGGAATTGATTTCAAAATATTACTATTTGTTTGGCAGGTAATTCGCATTTAACTTGGAAATTAGAAAATGTGTTCTGAACTTACAAAATTATATGTCAGATGTCACAGGGACACGAAAAAAAATGGACCCCTGTCAGGAATTATCCCCAATATGCCCTGAGCTGGACTAATTTTCCTAGCAATGAAGCCTCCTTTTCTGGGAACTGCATTTTTTTTGGTTAACAAATGACTACGAAATCCACGTGTATGTACATTCCCCATAAACATGGCTTTTTTCAAGCGATAAGGGGGTGCTTCTGCTGAAGGCAAATGAGCCTTTTGTGCGTTAAAATTTGAATCTGGTACACTGCGTTATCTGATTACACACAAACATAACACTTCGAAATCCTCAGACTAAAGATACTGTTGCTATACCTCGTGATTCGAGGCAAGCTTTTGCATAGCAACCACAATCTATGGAATGGATTGGTTCCTTTGAGCCCTCCTTATCCATGGCAAACAATGCACTGGTGCAAGGTGTTTCATATGTAATTAAGCAAAAGTTAGCCCTGAATCACAAGGTATAGCAACAGGGTCTTTAGCATGAAGAATGCAAATCGTGTTATGTTCATGTGACTTTGAAGAACTCAGTGTACCAGATATTATTCAAATTTAACTCGCAAAAGGCTTACTGGCCGTGGATCAATTAACTGGAAATTTTGCCACTACTCCTGAACTGCTACAAATATCAAAGTTGTTTAGTTGTGACTTTTTCCATTAAGGTCTTGTACAAGTTTTGATACCAAACTACAAAAATCCAACAAAGCGTATTCATATAAATGGCAATTAAGGGTTAAAGGTCATCTGAAATCTAAAATTGAAAAAGGACTTTGTATACGGCTTACCGATGGCGCTCGACTTGTCCCCCTCCGTATCGCTGGCTTGACCATCGCTGTCTTCTTCGCTGCAAACATTAGCCTCGCCAGCGAGAGCTTGACCAGTGGTCAGCTTGGGTTTGTCACCGGGCAGAGTAAACTCAACCACATAGCGCAGACGCTGCTGCTCAGTGCTGTAAACTGCATATTCGTCATCCTGCAGGATTAAAGTCCTCTGAACGATGAGATTTTGGAACGGGACAGATCTGACTGGTAAAGGTTTGTTTGCACTCTGACTGGACAAAGCAAACGGCTTGAAGTCATCGGATGCATAACGAACTAACGAACTATGGATAGTTCCAGCACCACAACCTGTCGTACCGTGTGTATAAAGTCTATGGATGGTCCGTCACTTTGTGGTGCAGCTGACAAATCACGGTTCTCCATTTTGGTCTATTTCAGTGCTTCAAGAAACACAGCACAAAAGTCACTTGCCCGAGGTCACGACGTTGGTTCAGTAAATAAAAGGTCCTTAGGACAGTCAAATGATTTTGGGCAACACACTAAGGCCCTGATTCTGAGCTGGAAAATAATATTTATCTGGAACAAAACATGTCCGAGGCTGTTGTATTTGTACAACTAGTTCTTGGAGCCAATATACTTCAAATTTAACCAAATCTATTTTTTTTTAATAATGACCTTTTATTGCAATTTTTCAATAAGGACCATAGACCTGAGAGGACAAAATGTAACCAGCTGTTGGATTCGAACCCCTGACTCTATGATCCTTATCACAAACCTGAACCACTAGGCTGCACAGCACCCAAAATTTCAAACTAAAGAAAACAAATGAGCTCTGAAAAGATCGCCAGTTACATGTAAGTTCTTCACTGACAGAAAACAGTGTGCATACGCAGTCACCTTGAAATCGGAACGATTGGAGCCATCATTCCTGACCCCGTGGACGCTATGGAAGCCATCCGGGGGTTCGGTGAAGTCCTTATGGTAGCTGGTTGTCTCATAACATATCCCGAGGGCCACCTGGTTGATTGTCATCAGGCGGGTGCCTCGAGTGTGGCTGATGTGGGAGTACTTGGCGCTGGTGCTGTGGTTGAAAAGAAAAAGGGAAATCATCTCATGTAAGGATATCGAAGGCCCAATTACGTGGCTTTGTCACACTACTGAAAGACAATACATGTACGCTTGGTACGTTGTTGCTCTTTGCTGACGCGAGTCCTGTTTTATGGTGAAGAAGGAATCACAGATTATGCGCATGCATATTTTTTGCAAGGATTCCAGGGAGTGTACAGAGTTTCTTGGCAAGTCCTGCATTAAAGCACGAAAAGCGATCATGAGTGCATAACACAATATTATTCTGTGGCTAGCAGAGAAGTCAAACTGGCAGCTAATTTCAAGTACAGTTCCAGAGACACAAGAAATTATCAAATTCAAATGAAATATGACAAAAGCATTCCTGTGTTATTGTTCACCCTGTTACTTCAAGTCCTAAGTTACTTAAGACTTCAAGTAACAGGGTCTACAATAACACAGGAATGCTTTTGTCATAGTTCATTTGAATAGTACTTGAATCTGCCACCAACTGATTGCCTTGTGATGGACTTGTAAGGACTTCTGACAGAATCGATTATGACACTGCTCTCGGTCTCTTCCATCTCAAATTTAGTTCTCTCGGTGCTCAATCTTCACTTCCTAAACTTCATGCAGGGCTCAAAGAGCAGGTTTTGTAGTGCCTTCTTAGAGGCTGCCACGGTTACCATATCTTTGCTCAAACTTGTATCAAATTAAAAAAAAAATCATGCTTCAGGAGGAAATACCTGAAGTTGTCAGCGAAGTAGATTCCACTGCCCAGCATGCCAGCATCCGTCCTCTCCCCGCCAAAGTCATCCACCACCACCTTGGGCAGGATAAGGCCTCTGTTGGCATTGACACAACCAGCAGCACCATTATACAACGCATCATAATGAGCTCCTTGAAATAGTTACTGATTTACAACTCATTTCCACAATACATATTCCCTCCCTCTACCACATCACAAACTTGGATGTGGTCCCTGACTGCATAGAAACCAGGGGTAGTAACGCTTGCAAACTGAAGAGGCCTTTCCATATGCACATTTTCAGTGCACATCTGGCCCATAAGCAAGGTGCGGAAAGTACTGACTCTCCAGCAAAAAGGCACTGACAAACTGGGCAATGCTTTATTGGTTCAATCGGTGAGTTTCCTCAAGTTTTCTTTGAGGGTTCCTATTTTGCAAATCAGTGGCGGAAATTCACTTACAAATTTATACCATGCCTATGAGGACACAAGACTGACAATCCCTCGACAACAGTACAGAAACTGTTAACAGCTAAAAAAATAACTTGCAAAGAACGTGTGTGCTGTGTATCCGTATAACCAAGCAAAGTTTTACACAAGTGGCATATTCTATCCTCCATTGAAATTTGGACAAGCTCATTCCCAAGATTTGAATAGAATTCCACTCTCTTGAATCTGGTGCACAGTGTTGCTTTGGGACTTGTACCGACCTTGAAAGGATGCCCACAAAGTTAGCTGGCCGGGATGCATGGAACAGCAGACGACTGTTGTGCAGCTTGGCATCAAAGCTAGTTAACTCTAAAGGGCGCGTCACAGCAAAGACGCGCAGGATTTCAGCTAGCTTCTTCCTTCAAAGTACATAAAAATCGTCAGGTTAAAAATGGTTTGGGCATGTCAAAGTACTTTGTGCTCGTTATCCCCAGTGTTCCAGTAAGCAAACTAGGGGTCACTTATTTCAGTACAACCAAGCAAGCACACTTTTGACAGCAACAAAACAAGGTACGACAAGATTTGACGGTACATGTACGTTGAATTGGAAACATTTGTACAACAGCTAGCAAGCAAAAGTTAAGAATTCATCACCGCTCATGGTAACCCATACACCATCACATCCCTAGGTCTACCTCGAATGATGTGCGACAACACAAATACTGTCAGGGACAGTTTTATCCTCTCTCCTCAAATCCAAGCCCTTATTCAGACCTCAATGCGGTCTCAGATTCAGTGTCAGTTTTGCTTCAGAGTTCATCTCAGCACGTGAACAGACAGCACATTCTCAAAACACTAAGTCAGATAAGTGCACATGTAGCTTGAAAAGCCATTTTACTCAAAGCTATTCTTTACTATAATCAAGAGACTGAGATATGCCCACAGTGGTGCCTCATGAGTTCAACTCTTGAGTTTTTAAGCCACTGCCGGAACTGTCAAGAACAAGTGTAAACTGATTTTTATCCATTTCTGAGATCCAAAAGCCGAGGGCTTGTAATTTATTGTAAAAGTGGGAAAAAAATTGGGGACCCCTTTTTCAAAACAGCTTTTTGACGAACTTTAACTAGAGCATTTTCGGAAAGGCTTTGGGCTCATACCCTTGTGTAGAGATAATGAAGTTCTTGACATCGTAGTAGTGGGGATGGTTGTCGGGTAAGCAGCTGATGTGACAGCGTAGGGCTCTGTACTTGGACTCTACACTGCTCCGCTGCGACCAGTTAGTTGTCTCGCTCACGCTGACTACGTCTTTGATAAGCTGACCAATGAACAGGTGAAGATATGTTGTGAGTTTCAAAACTTCTTGCCTTATACCTTTTTTTGAGCTGTTCGAAGGGTTGCGACAGAAAAACAAGGCAAATTTGGGATAGTCATGACAAATAGTCATCTAGATGTGACAGATATTAAGAGTGATTGCAATCACAAAATCACCAAGAGACTCTGAAAGGGAAATATGCAGCTAGAAATGATTTCCCTCTACTTTGCTAAAGCCAACTGCTAGAGATTCAAAACAGGAGAATGAGGTTGACAATAATGGAATATGAACAAAGTCAAAATCATAAGATTTTAGTACTAGATTCTGCCAGCAAGTACAAGTTAAACAATGGGTCTTTCAAAATGTTTTCATATATCTTGGGAAACTTTTGATAATCCATCTCCCAAACTGGATTACATTTGAATATTCCATAACCTCACTTCGAATGAGTAAAAGTTTTATTTAACACACCGAGAGACCAGTACCTGGCACAAATCCTGCTTCTTGGCGATCACACTCTTTGTCTTGATGTCTTTCTTGTGCTCGCTCTTGTGGGGTATTTGGCTGTAGAACTCCTGGCTCAGGGTCTCAATGCTCGCCTCAAACTTATCAGTATCGTCACCTCCCCCATCCAGAGCTTTCCTGATTTGGAGGAGGATGCTCTCTGCCTTGGACACCTGTTGATGAGATGTCAAAATATGAAAACAAAATGGACAAGAAGGTTTATTTGCCGAATGCGAGTTGGCCTTGCGAAGTCAACTGCAGAGAGCCAGAAGAAATCATCTAGAGCGTGTACCTTCTCGGAGGTGAGGGTCTTGATGTCCACAGCCAGGATGTCTTCCAGTTCTCCCAGCGTCTCCTTCCACAGACTGGCCACCAGGGAGGCCACCTCTAGACTCATCTCATCCTCTTCCTCCCCGATGCTCAGCTGAGTCTGGAAGAAAGCAATTCAAGTATTGTGGTTTAATGCTATCCCTGACCGTCAAGCCATGAAATTGGCAGAGGTATACGAGTGTGACTGGGGAAATAAATCAAAATGAAATAAAACGGAACAGAAAACAGAGTGAAAAGGGAACCAGGAACCGCAGAGAACAGAGAACAGAACAAAGGCTAGGATATTTAAAAATTCACATCCTGGGAGGACATACATACAGCATTGCGATAAACAGGCTTGCTCAGGAACATCATCAGATTTTCCCCTTAACGTCCTCTCTGGAATTTATTAGACCTAACCCTACAGTTAATAGTGTAAATCACATAGATATGCATGCAGAATTTTGTTGGATTGGTATGATTCGGGAACAAAAATCAAAAACTTTAGGCTTTTTGGCAACCTTCATTTTAAGACACTGAAAGTGGATGGAGGGAAGGCAGACTGGTCTGTGATCATGTGCATGTACGTGCATAGCGAAAGAGTTCTGAACTATCGCCTCTCCATCATGTCAGGGATATTGCTCAAAGAGGGAGAAATTTTTATCACAATATGAAAAGACTCAATGCATTTTTTGTCAAAATAAGCCATCTGGTTAGAAGCATTTTAATGCTTCTGGAACCTTTGGATAGGAAAAATAATGTGCAACAATTTTAGAATACGTAATAATTTCTGTTCGTTTACTTCTTAAAAAATCTTCTCGGAAAAAGACCTTTGCATAATGTTTGCTAGCATATTAATTTATAGAAACTTAAAAATTACCCGACCTGCAAGAGAAATGTCCTGCTAAAATTTGACCTCTCGCTTCTAAACATCTAAAATATATGAAGACCAGTGCAACTGGGTGGCCTCGTACGCTGCTTGTAACGTTGCTGACAAGAACGGCACCAAGTCAACTCAACTTAATCTAGAACCCATCAAGTGCAGGTAGGTAAATATCTGCAAAGTTGTACGATCTCGTTTTCACGTAAGCACAGGGAGTGAAAACAAACGTGCATGGAGTCCATGTCCTTTGCTGACGTGACTCAAGGCAAGTCTGTCACCAAATTGCAACTCGAGAGAAACCCGAGTCTGAGTCCTGGACTCTACACTAGGTAAGCAACTGTTCCCCTCACTCCTAGGCACATCGTCTTGCAGCCTCTTACCAACGATCCCACTTCCTATAACCCAGAATTCCGTCCCCCTCTGAGCCGTCAGCTCCATTGTACCTGTCTATATTTAGGGGAGCCGATCCAGCGCGAGGCTGCCTTCTTGCCTCTGCTCATGCCATGCTGCTGTTGCTGGTGATACAGGAAGCTGTACGTCTCTAGAGCTTCCTCACTGGAGTTGCAGTAGCGGACCTCTCTGGCGCCAGAGTCTTCGTCCTGTGGAATAAAAATGGAATTATGCATTCCTCAAAAGATATTAACACATCGGCAAAGCTGTTGTTGAGCACAGTAACATGCATATGCCCTGAAGAGACTTTTTCAAAACAAAAGCATTTGGGAGCTACATTAGTAACCAAATTATTCACACATTAACCTTAACAGTCCTCAATCCTTCACCTGTTGGAGGACTGAGGACTGTTAGGGTTAACAATCCACTTTTAACCCAAAGCATTATAACATTTAAAACTGCTTGAGAAAACAATGACTGAAATTCACACAGTGGCTGCATCCGAATCTCTTGTCTAGAGCTAGGTCTAGGTCTTCGCACCATTGGAAATGCGTGGAGACGCGTAGACAATAGACCTAGCCGTAGCTCTGGAAACCTGTTTCGGACACGGCCTACGTTGCTTCTCATGTTCTTCAGCACCCAAGTAGCACATGCAACGTGTGCACCAATGTCCATATAAGGGTAGTGAATACCTTTGGCCCCTACCATAACATGGCTGGAAGGGCGTTTATGAAAACATGAAGCAAAAGTGTTGAATAAAACGGTTGGAAATAAATTGATAATTTTTCAACTTGTTCTGTCTTTCGGACTCAAAAGGTTTTATGAATGTGAATAAATACCGTGCACGCCTGGCCAGTCTTAAACATTCATTTATGCTCAAAAGAATAGATGCGGCTAAGGTCCCTCAACTTTAGCTTGGGTTATTACAGGCATCCCTTTTCCTAATCTTTTCTTTTGAGACTGACCACGGGCTCTTTTCATGTACTCTGCAAATAATGTACCCATAATGTACCCACTTTTCCATGGATTTACATGTACCACGAGTCAATATTTTCCAGGCTCTTTAAACACACTCAATAGGATCAGCTGTGCACGAAATGTCTTTTGTTTTGCCCTCTGTGAAACTGGAGTTATTTCGCCGATGGTTACCAGTGTCGATGCTGTTATATGTAGGTGTTGCAAAATCTGCAAAGGTGCCTGTAACCTAATCCTCATGCCACTGATGAAAAGTTAGGGGTCATTAAAAATCTCCTTGCCGGATCAGTCCAATTAGCAATGGGTAAGCATCCTTGAAATCACACTTACGGATTAGTATCAAAAGTGCTTGAACGACATTATAAGGGCTAAGAACTTATCATTTACTCCTAGTCCTCGTACCATCAAGTGATCGAGTACACCGCGATGAGTGAAAACCCTGAACGGGTGATCACACGCTGGCCCACTGTCCTTGGTGTTCCTAGACAAGTTGAAGACATCATCAGGAACCACGTGTAACTCCAGGTGATAGAAGAGTCTATCTTTACTCCTGGTGTCTCTCTTCTGCAAAGCCAAAAAGAAAATTGGTTTGGTGCTGAACAAGGGATAAACGTTCAAATCTTACTGACATCACCCAAATCATCTCTTACAATCTGGGGCCAATTTCATAGAGCTGCTTAAGCACAAAATTTGCTTAAGCACAAAAAACCTTGCTTAAAAACAAAGGTTATCAGCTCAAAATCTATGTGACTGTCATGCTAACCAAAAGACAGGTGAATACCAAGCCAAAACACTATACATCACATGGAGTTTTAGCTGGTAACCTTATTTATCAAGTAAGGTTTTTCACGCTTAAGCAAATTTTGTGCTTTAGCAGCTCTATGAAATTGGCTCCTGGTGTCAGGATCTGAGTGTCTGAGATGGAAGTTCCTCTAAAGACTGATGCTGCTCTAGCCTACTGTCTAAACAAAATCAACAAGATCTATTCCCTGCTGACTGGCATAACTGGTAAATTAAAGCACATGAAAAGATACAAAATTATCTGTATATAGAGACAGCATGCACAACCAGCAAAGTCACAACATGTGCCTACCACCCAGGTGTGAACAGAATGGGCCTGCAGTCAAGGTTTCTAATTCCGGTCACCAGAGTAGGCTATAGGCACCTTTCCATATGTACACTTTTTGGGTGCATTGCGTTACGATACCTTCATGCGTTTCACTTTCACGGACACAAAATCAGCTCCATTACCATAACACATGTGTGCGTTGGGTTTGGTGCCATCGAAATCGTCCTGGGAGCAATTTGACGCACATATGGAAAGGTGCCTTACACCAGCCACTGACTGGTGTGTTAATGAACAGGATGATTATTGGAAAGCACTTTGAGATTGTACACGGACATGTAGATGGAAAGCACTGTAAAGTATGAGCAATACAATTATAATCATCAAAAGAAGTTCCATAGATCTCTTTTCAGACAGAACCCATAGACTAGCAGCAAAAAATAGCATAATCAAGCGCTTCATAAGAGTACAGGTACCTGCAGAAGAACACTCTTCGCAATCTCATACTTGTCCTCAGGATAAGCAGGTGTGTCAACACTTCCCCACGGCCAGACCCTGAGTACATGTAGAAAAGAAATTTATGCTGACCACAAAAAAACAATTGTGAAATATTATTCGGACTTTTCAGGAATGCAAAATTATACTTGAGCAAACTGTAATTTTTTATCTTTTCCTCCACAAAATAAAGAGGCATAGTTCAATAACTCTCTTGAAGCATTTACCCTATGATTGCAATTCATAAAAAAAAAGAGAAAAAAAGGGAACACCATGAAATGAAATCAAACAATAAGCCAGTGGTTTCTAAATCAGCCGCCTTTGGCTCAACCGCAAGTTGAACATTTCTGCAGAAACTAAAGATTTGAAATCAGACTTTAATCTTGCTGATTGACTTGACATTTGATTGGAAGGACGGGGAAAAAGCACCAGTAGCAGAAACGAAGAAAAGATGAAAGAAGAAAATACACTCACTTGATTTTATTAATGTTGAAAGACAACACCTTGGCCTTCTTCTTGGGCTCCTGTTGGGTTTTTGCAGCTGTTGACAATCAAGAAAACAAACCTGACTCTCACAGATACCAAGGGGAGCTAAAATTGACCACCCCCCTTCAAGATAAAAGTCAAATTCGTTATACCATACCTCAGAGTCAGAAATGTTCAATTGCCATTCAGATTTGAGGACCAAGGAAAAGGTTTGCGTACTGCTGTTTGATCATGTGTAGTTTGCATGTAGTGTGCGTAACAACAAGTAGGATGGATGCTCACGCATGCCTTATGTCAACCATGTCAACTATGCAAACTATGCAACAGTTTTATCTCAGAACTACCGCATGTATGGACTTGCGCATGGATCCTCACATGCATACTCGTTAAGGGCAAAACGAGAAACTGGTATGTGATGATTAAAGTTCAGCTCTCCATTCTGAATAAGTCTGAGGTACGGTCATTTGTAATATCAGTGATGACATGTTGAAAAATCCTGCGCCCGCAGCCTTCAAACACAACTTTCATGTACCTATGATTTTGCCGGAGCTGAACTGCATGCTGCTGGTCTTGCCCACCAGCAAGAAGTCCTCGTGGTCTACCAGCCTTCCTTCCTCTAGGCACCTTTCAATGAAGCCCATGCTGATGATTGGCACCCCTTGCTTCTTGGCCGTGCGTCCCTTGTAGGAGTCAGCCGTCTTTGGCCCATTGCTGGCGACAAGGTAGGAGGTCTGAGAAGAAATCACCAGCAAATTATTTTTTTCCAAAAATGAGCTTGATTTAAACATTCACAAAAGTTGTGACAGCAGCCAGAAATGTGTTTTCGCTTTGGTCATTTAATTTGTTGGGTGTTTTTGCAAATTTGGTTATGCCTGTCTGACGTCATTGTTCAACCCAAATGGGAACTCAGGTGGGCGGGGAGTCAGGTTAGTGAAGTGGTTCTTTCCTCGCCTTCCGCCTCTGTGGTCCGGGTTTGAATCTTGGCCTGGTCCACATGTGAATTGGGGTTCTCAGTCCCTACCTGATTCCGTTGGTTTTACCCAGAATATTCCTCTGGGGTTTTCCTCCCAGTATATGTACATTGTATCTCTAGGATGACATGACTGCGTCTGGCAAGTACTGCCTTTCTTGTGGACCTCTTTCAACCTGTTCTAGGTTATTTTTGGTAGTCAAAAATGACTTTCTGGTTACTAATCATGAAAACATGCCCCTGCCGCGTTGTAAACAGAAGTTGAAATCCGTTTGCTGTTGCTGGTAGTATACAGAACTGAAATGTGATGACCCCATTTGAACTAGGACATGAAGAGCAAACAAATTGAGTACATGATGTGTTGGTCCAGCACTGGTTCTCACACTAATGCCTTTTGCAAACAATTGTGTACTTTGAGATAAATGACTTCAGCATTCAATAGCATGCACATCTATTGTCCTACAGTGGTTGCAGTTACAACCTGCAGCTTGGAAGTGGTTACCATTTTTTTTCAAGTTGCAACCAGAACTACCGAACAAGGCTTCAATAATACAATGTAGATGCACTTGTAGTTTTGGGGGAAGAAAATTTGTGCATTCAGCATCCTGGCATCCTGACTTACCTTCTTGGTGAGTATATAGGAGATGACTCCTCCATTGCTGGTCACCTGTTGCCTGAGCAGTTGTTTCTTTTTGAAGGGGACTTGGGTTGCATCAAGGTCCAAGGCTATCTGACAGTCGCTAAAAATGCCCATCCCCTGCAAATATCACCAAGCACCAGCACGCAGGATGAAAATGTGATCAAACTGGGACATACCGTAGTCCAATCACTTTCCTTTAGTTCTGGATTTTTCTGAATTCTGACAAAGCTTTGGAATTTTCCAGCCCAATCCTGCTTACCAACATCCTTTTAAGGAGCAGGGGTCTTGTAAAAAAAAAGGTTGTCGAGTATGAGACCCGTGTGTGCTACGTTAAGTTTGCAAACTGTAATACCCCAAGTGCACACGTACATGTAGGACAAACACAGAATAATGAAGAATGAAAAAAAATTAAAAGGTACATGTAAATATAAATAAGTTGCAAAGGAAGATAAATAATAATAAAGTGATAAGTGAAAAAATGGGATCAAAGTACATGTACATGTAAGGACATGACACGAAACCTTCATACTCACTGGCCACTTTTGTTTTACATCTTTGGAGCCCCAAGGAATTTAGGGAACTCAGGGGGCAGGTTTAAAAGAAGCGGCTCTTTGTGATTTCACACAAACCTAAAGCAAAATGTTTCCCAAGTATCTCTCACCATGGCACCCTCTAACCGATTATTTATAGTGCTCCAAATCACCCAAAATTTTTCTCCAAAGACAGCAAGTTCAACTCCTTTTATCTGCAGATAACACACCAGTCCATGTCAACCAAAACAATATGCTCTGTGAAAGTGGCTAATGATTTTTTTTTCTGACATGACACGTACACGTGGTTGAAAAGTTGTTCATTTAAATTTGAAAAAATTTGATTTAAAAAATGGGCTTGGTTCAAGTTGGCCCTTGCCTGGGCCTGCTTGGGGGTACCTGCAGGCCGAAACTTTTCAACGTCCATGGACATGACTGAATCATGGAGAAAAGTAACAGGCGAAGTCACTGTCACTGTGGGGTCCGACGTCCGCCCCGCTTGTGGGGGTCCGACGTCCGCCCTGTTTGTGGGAGCGGGGCGGATATTGGACCTCACAGTTCTGGCGGTACATGTACATATAGCAAAGTCACCACCGATCGACCACAAGACATCAGACTTGTCACAGACCATGTAGTTCCTCGTTCCTTGTTTGACATTTGACATTCAATGTTGAACAAGTAACCGTTTGATATTTGAACGTTGAACAGGTAACTATTTGAGGATGGATGCTTATCTCTAAGAGACTAGAGTGCAAAAAGCACAAAAAAAAACCCAAACTCTGCCATGCACCCATATATCTATCCTATTTATACATTATGTATTGTACGTGCCATTCACAGTGATGTGTGTACACAAACAACTCAAGTCTCCCAGAGGGAACCTTGGGCATGGGGCTTTTCAGGGTCAAACAAACCCTGAAAATGTAGGCGATGTTTTTACAATCAGTATAATTATTAGAGGGAAAAAACGGTTAGTGTTACATGTATATGCATGTGTACTTGCCGTTTCATAAAAACTATTTCAGTCAATCAAATGATATACATCAATCCCACGCCCCGCCTCTTAACCTCCATTTCAACCAGGGCAAAGGCAGATTACCAAGGTCAAAATGGCTTTGACAAAAAGGACTTGTCTTGTCGGTTGAATTCTTGGCTTGCAAACCAGAGTGGGAAAGTTAATGCATCACACTTCTTATTTCAAAGCGAAATTAAATACCCAAACCCCATGCCCCACCTGGGATTACATTTAATCTGATGTCATGTTCTCCTCAATCATCGTCGACTCCTTGCAACCCGCGGGGCATGGGGTTTTTCGGGGTCCAACAAGCCGTGAAATGTATAGTTGGCACAGTTTGTTTTTTGTCCCTTTTACACTCCCTCGCTCTTTGGGATGTGCATCTTGAATGTCAAACGGCTTGGCCATGGGCCTACTTACTTGTTGAACATCATCGAACAGTTGGCCTACCATCAGTGCTTGTTTAAAATCGAACATGTCGAACGCCGAAGGTCAAACAAGCAAATAAGGCCTAACTTCAGCCTCACAGACCACCCATTCAGAACATGTCAATTGTCAGACCACAAGAGTGATTTTGCACAATAGTATAAAGGCATCGTTTGGGCAGGGAAAAGGGGCAAACATTGTCCTTTTCCCTTCCCACAATGCCTTTCCACAGTTGTGCAAAATCAGTCCTACGGAAGGCCTCGGGATCGGGCCAGCTGGTGATAAGGCTAGGCCTACATCTAACACTACAGTAACATGTCTAATTCTGTTCGCTCTGGAGGAAGGAGATTATCCCACGGAGCTCGAGAAAAGCACACTTACGTCTCCTTTCTACACGATGCAATGAAGGAATTCGATCGTCAGTGATCGTTCCATAAAAACCTTCAAGTTGATCGTGAAAAACTTGAGCAACCGTACAGCCTACACCCTCACCGAATCATCTTCTTTCACTTCATACTGCTATTTTTAGACTGTTTCTATTCATAGAAATTACGCGCTTTAAACCATAGAGAATTTCCAGTCCTATGTTTTCGTTTCTCGATACTTTAGAACTTCAGAAATTATTGTCAAAAATGAACGGCATTTTCAGTATTACAGCTTAAGAATAATGGATGCGGGTATATGTGACTGCAAAGTCTGGAACAAGTTTAAAGCGCATCTATGAAAAGTTGATGAAGATACAGGATTTGGTGGGTCCTTGCTCTTTGGTTGTACAAGTTTATTTTATGTCGTGCGGGCCAAGCGTGAAGGTCGTTGTTGATAAATCTGGTACCTGTAGTCTCTACAGCAGTCGTTGTGCTTTCTTTGGAAATGCGAGCCTTGCTTTTGACCTTGTGCATTAAATGGTTGATTAGGACAGTTGATCCGGGATCAGGTCAACTCGGACCCAAACCAACTCGGACCCATTCCAACTCGGACCCATGCCAACTTGGACCCAGGACCAACTCGGACCCACGCCAACTCGGACCCAATACTAACTCGGACCCACCACCATCTATGACCCACAACCAACTCGGACCCACGTCAATTCGGACCCACGCCATTTCGGACCCACCTCGAGTCAACTCGGACCCACTCAGCCTCAAGGTTGCATTACACCAAATACGCGCCCGTAGACCAAAATAGTGCCAACTCTTGAACCTCGCGAAGAGGTTGGTCTTCATTTTTTTGGCTGGAATTTCAAGATTATGGCCAGATTGATCACTTTTCGTTTCAATTTTATGAACTTTTTTATTCGCCTTTTCCCGAAGATACCCCCCTAATAGTAGTAAAACTATGCGCTCATATGAATGTACCCGCCTGCCTCTATCCAAAATAGGCCCGCATTGTAGGGATTTTTGTGAAAGAAATACTCTGAACCGGAAACTATCAATCCCAAATTCGAGATTTATATAAATAATTCTATGATCCCTCGTGATTATGGCACGTCTTATTGCAGAAAATAAGAAACCGTGGGATCACAAAATGTTAATAACGAGCTCGCAAGCAGACATACGACGCTTCAAAACCGTCTCCAAGTTTAAGCCAATAGGAAATATTCCACATTTTTATTTTAAAATGATTTGATTTGTGTTGTTCAAGATTACCAACCTATTTGAGTTATTTGAAGAGTCAGCTTAGGCCTGAATGGATGAATTCCTCCATCTGCCTAAATTTTGCCGGTATTCGGGGGGATGGGGCAAGGTGAAGGTGTAAGACTTGTCAGGCCAAAAAAAAAATGAAAAGTGAGGTGGGGGATAACACCATTAGACACTGTAAAAGGTCAATGTTCGTGACATTGATGTATATCTGCAGTATCTGTTGTACGTATGCAGTATATCTTATGTACATCAGAAGGCCTATCTGTGGCTTTTTATTGCAACAAAAACTTTGGGGGCTGTTTGGTGAAAGTTCATTCGAATTCTGCTGGTGATCTGGAGTGCCTAAAAACTGCGGCGTCAATGACATGGTACTGTCAATCACACTGCAAAAGCTGCTCCCATTGGTTGTCCCAAGCTCCCACTCCCCGATCATAGGGTTTCAAGAATGGAAGATTACAAATTAAGATTCCAGATAACAAGCGGCAAATAAGACATAAAAGGAAATGTGCCTCCATAAAAATATGACGCTCGTCGGTTACTTATCACTTGTTCCAAGACATCACTGATATCAAATCTAGTCCTAGTGTACGGTTTTTAACCACCATGCCTGTTCAAACTCGAAAACGGAAAAATTCTGGGAAGCCTGTGCCACTGTTTCCATGCATAACGTGTAGAGAGGACGTTAAATCTAGGCAGCATGCAGTGCAAAAGTGTCATTTACCAAATGCTAAAATGTAAAAGTGGACAAAATAAACATTTTCAACAAGTTAATCACGCTCCTGGGGTTGGGTCCGAGTTGGTCTTGGGTCCGAGTTAGTATTGGATCCGAGTTGGTTGTGGGTCCGAGTTGGTTTGGGTCCGAGTTGACTCGAAACCGTTGATCCCCCCCATAGGCCCCACAGGGGTACAGACAAGAAAATTAGCTGCCATATACAACATTGATAATGTCCCTACTTGTCGATCCCCAATGTCCCCACCAAAAATCAGTAAATATACTCACATTTTAACAGGTGTTCAAAACACATCATCAAAATAGTTCACTGTCTCATCTTTCATTTTCCTTTCAATTTTCAGTGGCCATCACTCATGCATTGTTGTCCCGGGTTAATTGAGCGTGTCAAGTTGATGAGGATACCAATGCTTCACCCTGCATGTGCAGGGATGCCCATGATTGATCGGGTAGAGGACTGTGCATGGTTGACAAACTTCGTCCTACAGAAAGGGACATGGATTAATACCCTTTCTAATAGTAGGCCCATGTGCAAAAATTGCAAGTTGGTTTGAGCCCCATCCAGGTTAGCGCTGTTAGTAGGGGAACGGTGCCGCACGAAGCAAGACTACTAAAGAACTGGTTCCCATGCAATGTGTTATCACCATGCATAGCGTTTCTAGTACCAGTTTTTTGTCATGCCAAAGCGTATCGTTGATTTGCAGAATTGAGCTTCATATGCATATTTCACTATAAATTCTTCAATGCAGAAGTTATTGTTGTGACTCGAGCGCCCTCCGTTGAATTAATTTTCCAACAGCCAGTTACGTACAACTACAAGTTCTGACGTGTACATTGTACACAAAATTAATGTGCAAGCGGTATGGTCACTGTGTACTTGCACATGCATTGCGTACAATGTACAGAGCATAATGATCGGATACGCCATGTATGCGGAGGGCTGGAAGGTGTGTCGGTGTTTTGAAATTGCAGGTGAGAATTTCCCACTTATCTTGGAGTATACAGCACATATCTTCCTTAAGCTGTATCACTTAGATCTTGACTTAGTTCCGAAAAGAATGAAGACAAGGTATTCGGTATTTGACAGATGCTGTGGTGATCAAAATTGCACTCAAGTGCTCTTCGTTATGTTGGTGAGCGAGTTCGGGCTCACCGTCAGACCATCGTCAGATCGTATGTACATGTAGGCCTATCATACTAGCCCCAGTGTGGCACGGACTCTCGCTACCGCTCCATCCTTTAGGATGGATAGCGAGAGTCCGTGCCACACTAGTGCTGGGGCTAACATTCATACATGTACATGTATGTGTTACTGTTTAGTACCGTGGTAGGCCCCAACTAAAGCGTCTGTCCCAACTATATCTGGGAGTTCCAACTATAGTGCTGCAGTTTGGCATGTTGGGCTGGCCCAACTATTGTTGACCGATTTCTATGGAAAATTTCTCAACCTTATCCAAGTTTATAAATTTTACACTTGACCATGTTGACACAGTTTCATCTAAAATATGGCACTTCATTTATGACATGACATTGTAAACGATATGACTTTGGCACATGCAGAGTATGCTGGGCTCATGCACACCGGACCTCTGTGCTGTAGTTGGGCAGTAACATACATGTATGCACGATACTCCTGGCCACGAAGAACCCCACACAGTTCTGGGGTATGCGTACCATCAGGGTAGTTGCCTGGATCATGGGTACTTCCTGGACAGTAAGGTACTACTCAGTAGACCTTACTGCACGCCACGTTGTTGATGGTTCTGCACACTAGGGCATTTGAAAGCTGCCATTGTGCCAAGTTGGAGTACAAAATGAAACCTCCGTCTATGCTTTCTGAAGCAAATCTTCCCCTAAAGACCCTACAAATTAATACTAACCTACCGGTATATGGAACTACTGGCATGATTGTTCTTTGTTGCGTTTAACCTAGATGTATATTATTGGCACAAAATGAGGTTTTTTCTACCATCCTCAACCTCTCATCTCTTGACAATCCGCACGCATCTGAGATAATGTATAGAGACGTCTGGGAAATCTGTGGTCAAGCAACCACATTAATCACATACATGTATCACAATTTTGAAAAGCTGGCATTTCTGTCAGTAAAGGCCTCAAAAGTCTCTGCTAAATGTACACGTACATGTACATGTATGACTACAGGCTATAAGAATGAAAGTCATAGTGCTACTTAGATATATGCCCCGAAATTTTTGAAACAAAGTGGCTATTAGGCCTAGTCCATGTACATGTAACTGTAACGGTACTTCCAAATTCTAGAGTTACAGCATTGCACATTTGTCATTGCCAGTACAGTAAGGTTTCAATTTTTCAATCAACGTTGTAGCATGCTAGTACCAATAGCCCCATCAGTATGCACATGCACTGTTCTGTAATCCCAGCATGCAGGGATCGAGTCTGGTCCATGTTCGATTTTTCCTGTTTCTCGTTTTCCATTCAGTCAGATTGTGTGTTTACTTTCAATACACTTTTTCTTTTTTGGGGGCGGGGGAAGATTTGTATCTTCAAGGGACCCTTTTTAAAGGGAAATAAAGTCTGAGATCCATTTGTTGTAGATTGGTCTGCTTCCTGTTTCCAGTGCTCCAGACTACTGCAAAAAAAAGTGGACAGAAACCTGTCTAAACTCCTAAGACAAGAGCCACTGCATTTTTGAAAATACAAGGCTACTTTTCATTATTTTGTAATAACACTTTTTCCATTTAAAGATACATGTATCACTCAACTTCTAACTTCAAGCCATAAGTGCATGTTCCATCGGGTCAAAGAAATAAAAATGTGCCTGAGGAAAAGCCACTGTTCCCCATTGGTCGGGTCCCAGCCCATGCAAGTGAATGGACCAATCATGTCATTCAACACAACACAAAAGGTTTGCACCGTAGTACGCCATTGTTACGCTTTTTGAGTGGACTTGGCATTTGATCTGTGACTTGGCCAATGATTCTTAACTCGGGCTGAGTCACAAAGTGCCTTTTGCGTAGAAATAATGACAAAAATGTATAATAAAAGTTTTAGGCAGCAGCTTTCACGGCATGCATGTACAGGTAAGAAGTATATATGTACATGTACACACCCAGCATCTTTATTACTCCTTAAGCGAACCCTAGGATTTTATAATAGCTGGCGTTTTGCAACTTTGTCGTGGTCTTTTATTTGCGGGAATTGTTCACATTTAAAGTAACAGGAACACCAGGTTAAAATCAATGCACGTGTGCATGCACCTGTACAGTGACTGTAGGTGTAGCTGAGTCAAGGTTGCCATGGCACCATCAAAGTCTCTAAACCATCAAGAACATGTCCATGTATGCATGAAGCTGTATGCAGTGACCAGTAATAAGCATGGTATTAAGAGGCAAAACGTTGCCAAGGAAATGGCACATTTATAATGAACTTGCAGGCAGTGTTGTTTACCATGTTTACACCCCATGCTCATATAGCAATGTTCTGGTGGATGCTCCAGACCTTGGCCGTGATGTCAGCGCGTGGTTTCTATGACAACCGTTCAGTGTGTAGTATACATGTACATGTGCCTCAAGAAAGACTCGTTGGTACCAGTGTAAAGTCGGATGAACTGTAAATACATGTACATGTATATAATAATGAAATTTACTCTGTAAGCAACTGATTGGGGATGAAATAATAAATGAAGAACTGCAAAAATGACCAACATCAAAACAACATTCTTAAAACTGTTTTGGTACTTGGTACACTTTTATCATCCATTTCAATGAATGTCATGTTTTCTAATATACATGTACCTGTGCCAAGTACATGTACATACAGGTGCATGTACACAACATACCGTGTGCATTGTAGATATTGTACGTGTACATGCACATTCACGTCTCTTAAGATTACTTAAAGGTTTGGAACTCATTTGTCTACAAATGGCTGGTTGTCGTGGCGATAGCGAAAGAAGGGTTCGTGGCCAAATAGGATTTATTGTCATTACCATGGTGATAAATGACCGGTAGGTCCGTCTTGGTGTCTAGTCTGAAATAGGGGTGATTTACATGTGAATGGTTACAGTGTTGGCAATTACATGTCCATGCACTGGTATGGTACACATCTGCATGTACACGTACCTGATACCAGTATACATGAAGGTGCGTGTTACATGTATGTGTACCCGGTACATATACATTAAGTTGAGGGAACCTGAAAGTCATTGAAATGATTGATCTTTTATATTGAAGGATCCATGCAATGATTTTTTTCTGGGACTCACATTTTGTACATCTTGTGAAAATTGTATTGAAATCCTTTTGACATGTTTGAGGTTACATACTCTACATGAACATGTACATGTATACAGTACATGTAAGTGCACTGATAATCCCACTTTTTAAAACATTAATGCCTTGTAAATTATCAAAGGAACAGCAAAACATATAGTTTTATGTGTGTGCACAAATCAGTTCAAGTCTGAGGTTCAGTGCCTGGGATGATGTCACAGTTCTGCAAACTTTTCATTTGCATAACACCAAAATTCCTTCAAAATACAGATACATGTAATTTAATAAAATAACAATCCAAAAGGGTTACATTAAAACACAATGGTGCAATTTCAAGGAATGTGGTAAACTGATTAATTTACGTGATTCCTTTAAAGGGATATGAGATGGTTAAAAGCAAGTAGAAAATGGAGAAAACGTGCACAGATCCACATTTGTGGCATTTACATAAAAACTGGCTCCAGTTAAATGTCTGGAGACATTTCTGTTTTGGAATGAATATACTGTTGGCTTCATGATTCAGGCCAAATCCTTAATGTCAACCTTGAAATTTCCTTCTTGCAAGCTCTTAATGATCTTATGCTCTGACCCTAATGTTTAAATACATATAGCAGGTTCCTCAAAATATGGACTATTAGATAATGTTCAACTTTGGGGTTCATTTTTCCTGAAGTGAACAACAGTGAATTAATTTCCAATGTTTGATGTAATGAGGGAAGTCATGGCTGATATCTGGAACAATGATGACCGTGTCAACCTTTCAACTTAATTGGAGTTAATTTATTAAAGTCTCAAACATTAGCAATTTTGAGGGACATGAACTCCCTGTTAAAATCTGAGCCAATAGAATTTACTGAGGAGTGATAATCCCTGAGGTTATTTTACACAGATTTATATGTGGGGATAGGTGATAATATTTACACTTATTAAAACCATAATCACAAAATTAAAAAGTACCTCTCACAATTTATCGGGTTCGGAAGTCGGCAGTCGTGAATGTCATTTGATTCTGTCATTAGTATCAAAAAAATCGACTGCAAAAAGAGAGTAAAATCCATATACAACACAAGCTTTAAAAAAGGGTGCAAAAAAGCACCGCCAAAAGAAAATCCGTCATTCTGAATGATGTTCGCCAAAAAATAACGTTCGAGACATAAAACACGATTCGTGATGAAAATCTAATGCTCACAGTTGTTAATTTTAATTTTATTTCAGCATGGTTACATGTACATATCTCCAAGATAACCAGCAAAATGAAAATCGCGCATGGATTTTTCGAGCACTACATTGTACATGTGACAGCATTTTCGGCATTCTCGAACGTCATGCAGTTTCTGTCAAAATTATCGAAGGTGATCAAAATTCTGTCAAAAATAACGTTGGCAACAAACATATTGCACTCATGATAAATTTTTGATGCAGCCAAACTTAAAAATAATTTTTGGTGGTCGAAATGTACAAGACCTGGCAGATATGCTGGTATAGTGAGGGTGATGTAAACAGTAAGAGAATGAAGAGAGCCAAACTTTTCTCATCAATTTCCGTCAATTTTGTGCTCTCTTTTTCATGGCTTATATTTTTTAAAAGCTATTTAGGTGCTTTAAAATATATCAGTCGAAAAATATACATGTGCATGTAAGTACATGTTATGCCTAATTATCCCCATACATGCCATATAATCATTTTATAAATCTTAAGGTGCTAATTTGTATTTTACGTGATCAAAGTCACTCTTTTAGAAGTTTTGAAAAATGTCTTTATGAAGAACATGACATATATCTCTTCAACTTCAAGTAAAGTACGCATGTTCAGTCTATTTTTATCACCAAATATCATTGCAAACTGTGTGGAAAATAATTATACCCACGTACATGTACAGCACCTTCATGTACACATGTAAATAAATCCTCATCGTCTGATTGAGGAATGGTGTGTAATGTACTGGTACTGTACTTTACGTGTACCAAGAGACTTTACACAAATAATTAGTGTCTGTATTACAAAGTAAACAATGTGTGTTCTGATGCACTCATGTACATGCACATATTTATGTACATGCATGTACCGTACATCATGCAGTGCTTCTGCAGAGTGCAGGACACTGTTTCTGGCATTGTTCATCAGTAAGGCGTACATGTATATGTACATGTACATTTGCACACTGTTAAAAAATGAGAGAATGGATACATTGGACTTTGAAATACTGTACATGTATGTACATATCGGCATATTGTTATCCCAGGCAAGATATGGGACGGAGGGGTACCCCCCTTACCTGTCCAATCCCTACACACACTCTAGACTATTTTTACCTAACACATCCCCCCTAGAAGTCTGAAAAGAATTCCTGAGATTCCGATCAAACAGTGACCAACTCAAAGGTGGGGGGAGGGGTTCTTTCCGTCCCATATCTACATGTACATGTAGCTTCAAATGTGCATTGCCATGAACAGTGATGAAGGGTACCCCGGCGTACCGATGTGGAACGAGTGCATGTATCATATGTACACTGTACATGTACTGTACATTGTACTTACATGTATGTACATATACAAGAACTGGTACATAAAACATACCTGTACAGGTAATGTCTTCATTGGTGATCGTCTCTTATTACTATACAAATGTACTTGAGCATGCATACATGCATAAATTGTGCACATTATCTGTTTTGCTGCATACATGTACATGTACATGTACATGCAGGAGTTATTATAGTCCTAAATATGTTGAGATTAGAGAAAAAGAATCCCATGTCACTTTTTTTCCCCTGGCACAAACTGCTTGGGTATGCAGTTCTCACATACTGCATGTATGGTACATGTATATTACATGTACATGTACATACATGTACAAGTACATTTACATATTTACATATGTACATGTTCCTGTAGTTGTTTTTGTTTTGTTTCTCACTAATATCCACAACATGGTCTTGACTTACATGTATGTACGCACAAACAAAATTGTCCCATCCCTCATGTCCATGTGGTGAAGGCCTACTGCAGTCATTGTGTACTACGTGTACATGTACATGATTCCAATTTGGGTGTTTCTGCTTTTGATTCCAATTTGTATCTCTGACACTGTACATGTATGTACATACAACCAATTGTACGTGTATGCGGTGTAGAGTGCATTTTTGTACGCTACAGACTTCCACAAGCAGATACATGTAGCAAACAACATGTACCAAACAACATGTACATGTCTGTACATGTATGTATGTAGCTACCGGTACTGGTACATGTTGCACAGTGATACATGTACATGTACATGTGCAATGAAGATTGTATCATTTTTTGTAGGGGGATGCGAAATACAGTCATTTAAGGGGCCAGTCATGTTCAGTGTTTCCCCCAATGGTTTTCATTTTTTCCAAGGTGTTCACCACCCGAAACATTTGACGCATATCAATAATTAATCCTGTGGACTGGACTGGTAGTCCCAGTGAAGCAGTAGAACTCTTCAAGCCCTTACAAAGTTGTTGCATCAGACATCAGTACATGTATTTGTACATGTGTACGTACTGTACATGTACATTGTATATTGTACCATACCTCGTCCATTTTGACATTAAATCTGGCACCTGTGTACCTTTCAAAAGAAACCAGTCATGCTGGGGCTTTTTCAATCCATGCAGCCCCCCTTTAGTGTGTTTCATGCCAGATTTGTGATTTATGATTTACATAATGAACCATTACATTATACAAGTACAGAAGAGGGCTGCCATTTGCCCCCCTGGGTGTACAAAACCATAGACCTCGCCACAGCAGACAACAATGGTTTTCTTACATGTACCGCTTTGTGCACGTACATGTGTAGGAAACACCGTCAAGTGGAATAATTGCAGAACGATTCACTGAAATGAACTGTCTTCTACAACAAAGTGTTTAGTGGAAGAACTTAACCTAAATTTGATATAACATGTACCGGTATGAAGGAAGTACTGCACATGTACATTGTACATGTACTAGTACCACTTATGTGTACATGAACGTAGATTAAAATGAGGAAGGCTTTTGTTTTGCTGTGCACCATTGTTAATTGATTGATCGTGACATTGGTTTAAGCCCTGTTTAAATTTTTTCGTCACAGCGTTCTGCTAATGAAATGACATCTGGGTAACCGGTAAACTTGCCACCGCCCCGACCGTCATGTTTTCCGTTCGCATCGTAACGGTCAACCACTACCTGGCCCGGCCAGTCAGGGACCTGGATGTGGCCTACTCAGACTTTCGGGGATCAGAGGTCAAGCAGGTACCAGTCCTGCGCATATTTGGAGCAACACCGGCTGGTAAGTGCAGCTCATGTTCTGACTTCACCACACTCACTCATTTTCTCTCATGGTGCTCGTCGATCAGTCAGTGGGCTGTTTGAAGGAGTAAACTACATGTAGTCCTGAATTACATACATGCATAAACTGTTGAACAATATGCTGTACGGTAAGTGCCAGCGGAACAACATGACTTGATGTGTACATATACATGTATGTACACTTGATGTNACTTTTTAGAGAGTGAAATTACACATCTACATGTACTGGTAAGCGCTAAAATGCTAATAGTGCTGGAGCATCTCCAGTCTTCAATCTGCCGATTGAAGATGTATACATGTACATGTATGTTTATAATGCTAGTACCAGTAGATTACTGCTCATAACATACATGTACTGTACATGTAAGCACTAATCGCTATACACTGTACATGTACTTGGAACACTGTGGAAAGCACTTAATGTACATGTACATGTACGTACACGTAGAGTGTACCATATGTTCAGCTGTTGGAATTATGATTGTGAATCAAAGGTACAGTGTGTACCTTTGGCTGACAGAACGTAAGAGCACACAACCAACGCATAACCAGTGAGCTTTATTTTTAATGGTACATGTACATAAATGTTCGTGTACATGTGAACAAAACCAGGCGGTATAGGGCTGACACGGCTCTTCATCAAGCTACAATGTACATGTAACGGTACACCGGTCCAGCTTCCTACCTTGGAAGGTGTGAAAACAGCAGATTAACTGTCGAAGTGTAATAAAAGATTAGTGTGATAGACAGCCAGGAATTAGGCAGCAGTTATCAGCAAGATGAGCAATTGAATACCCCTGTTTAGTTAGGTCTTGAGTGTAAACTACTCGCTCATCACAAACTCAAACGAACCGTACCGCAACAAGATCTGCAGTCAGCCCTTGACACTGCTTAAACCACTACCAGCCGGGTTTATACATGTATGTGTGGCCGGGGTCTCCGAACTCGGACAAAGGAAACAGGGCCCTGTAACAAAAGACTGTACACCAAACAAAAGACCAGGCTGCTGGGCATTACCGGCATTTTTCACTTTCAAAAGTGGTGATAATCCAGCGTTATTTTGAAACCCTATACCAGGGTTTGGGGTATTTAGAGCAAGCGGATTACCACCGGGGACAAAAGCTCTCCAGCACCGCAGTGATGAGCCACACAGCACCGCTGCATGCTAATCCGGCCCCTATTGAAAAGAGGTCAGCAGTGCACTGAGCCAGGTTCNGCGTTTTAGAGAGTGAAATTACACATGAACATGTACTGGTAGGCGCTAAAATGCTAATAGTGCTGGAGCATCTCCAGTCTTCAATCTGCCGATTGCAAAGAAGATGTATACATGTACATGTGTGTTTATAATGCCAGTACCGGTCGATTACTGCTCATAACATAAGCACTAAACACTACAGTATATAATGTACATGTACATATACATGTACATGTACTTGGAAAGCACTTAATGTACATGTACGTACACGTAGAGTGTACCATATGTTCAGCTGTTGGAATTGTGATTGTGAATCAAAGATACAGTGTGTACCTTTGGCTGACGGAAAGTAAGAGCACACAACCAACACATAACTAGTGAGCTTGATATTTAATGGTACATGTACCGGTACATAAATGTTTGTGTACATGTGAACAAAACCAGGCGGTATAGGGCTGACATGGCTCTTCATCAAGCTACAATGTACAGTACATGTACATATAATGGTACACTGGTCCAGCTTCCCACCATGGAAGGTGTGAAAACAGCAGATTGACTGTGGAAGCGTAACAACAGATTAGTGTGATAGACAACCAGGGATAAGCGCAGTAGTTATCAACAAGACGAGGGATTGAATACCCCTGTTTAGTTAGGTCTTGAGTGTAAACTACTCGCTCATCACGAACTCAAACGGACCGAGCCGCAACAAGATCTGCCATCTGCCCGTGACACTGCATTAACAGATGTGACAGGGACACAATAAACGGACCCCTAATTTCTGGAATGCCATAAATGTGATAAAGAAACAGCACAATAAAATTTGGGCAACAAATTCACAAACCTAGAAAGCACTTCTGAACAGAGAAATCAACATGAGCATCTGATGAAAGGGGGAAAACAGATGGCCAAAGAGGCAACGGCATTATGCAACGATTATGGGGACACATACTTGTACATATTTGTCACGTGGATCAAGTTTTGTCCCCACAACTCAATCCCGAAGTTCTTTATGAAAGTTACACGTACATACAGTACAGGGGTGTATATGACATGTACATGTACATGTATGTAGGTCCCTCAAAGATGTGCAGTATGTACATGTACATGTATCATACTGGTACATGTACATATTTTTTGAGCACAGCCTAAGGTCACCACTATAAGCATGAGTTGATTATGCTCTGTGAGTATTCACATCGGCACGTCTCACAACTTTTTGGCCTTGGCACTAGTATTGTAGACTCAAGACCATTCACAAGACCAGTCACAAGTAACAAGGTAAACGGTGACAAAGGAATGCCCTTTTGGCGGTTCTTTTGCAAAGCTTGGGACTTGTGTCAGTCTTGCGGTGATCTTCTGGGGCCCATTGATGGTCCTTAAAGATGTCAAGTGCAATCACTGCCTGACACACTCCATGCAGGCCAGAAGACGTGCCTTCACATCCACGGCGTGTTCCCGTACATCTACGTGGGATGCGGTCTCCAGGAGTTCACCGCCGACAAAGACCTGCGGCTGTTTGCCACCAGTCTAGACCTGGCCCTGCAGGTGGCTACAGGGAAGGCGTCTGAGAACACGCAACATGTCTTCAAGGTCATCAGTGTGCAAGCAGTGTAAGTGAAACCTACTGTTACATGCACTTGACATGTACCAAGTACTTGTAATATGTATGTACATGTATGTTTGTGCCAACTTTACATGTATGCAGTGTGGACCCATGAGCAAAAGAGGTTCACATTATTGCACGTTGTGTGAACGTTATGTGGACTAAGCCAGGTCCACACACGTTGCCCCCTTTCTGGAAAACATTTTTAGAGGCATTTTGGGTTAATGGTACTGGTAGCAGAAGAGGAACAGTAAAGGAAATCAAAAATAAAACTCCAGCTTACATGTAAGAGTGTTCACAGTACAAGAATAATGACCCTTTTCATGAGGTTTTCTTTAATTACTGGAACCTGTATACGAAAACGAAGCAGTATCCACACTAGGTACATTGTACACATGTGCATGCAAACTTGTGCTGAGTGCTGTGTTAATGGCACGCATGTGTGGACATTAGAATTTACATGTACATGTAGATTCACTTCCTTTTTGAGTTCTCCCCTTCATGCCATTTGAGTTCTTTTCCTTTCCTTTCTGGCAAAACGGAAGGCTAATGCTAGAAATGCATCACACTGGGCACTGGGTTTTAAAATATCAGTACATGTACAGTACATACAATGTACCCATATATAAATTGTACATACTGTACATGTACATGAAGGGAAAAAAACATGCTTTCTGCGTGTCGACAGGAAGACAGGATCTTAGAGCCGTACACATTTACATAATGTACATGCACACATCAATTGAAAATGACTGCTGCAGCGGGACAGTGACTCAAGTCGTGTTAACACTTCCAGTTGTGGTTGAAGTTTTCAAATATTTTCACAGTTTCTACTGTATTTGAGGGGAGCAGTGTCAACTAATCACTATGGGATCTTGCAACAAATCAGTAAATTTTCAGCAAGATCAGCTTTGATGAATCTCCTTTGTGGAAAAAAGTCGGTGATACCTACACGTACATGTCTTTGCTGAGAATATCGTTTATACACCCCCCCCGTAATAATGTCCCAACACTCAGTCTTTCTGTGTTTTTTTTTCTCCACAGGCCAATGTATGGCTATCACAGCAGATCCCGTCGGTTTCTTAAGGTCTACTTCTACAACCCACTCATGGTCAAAAGGTGAGCTTTGAAGCTTGACTAAGAAGCTGCGTGGCCTGGTGTTTAGGATTTGTAATTCCCGAACATACCGGGAGGCTAAGCGGTTCATATCCCACCTATTACATGTACATGTACATGTAGCTGGTTACATAGTGCTGTGCCATTGGGCAGGTACATTCGTACATGAACATGTAACTATAGTGGCAAATATAGGGTAAGTAAATGTGCATGTACATGTATGGTACCAGACTTAATTGTAAGTATGAATGTCTGTATGTTCCATACTTTTGTACTTAGACTTTCTACTCACACATGTAGTACTGTACTCACAAATGAACTGGTACCTGGCCATGTCTTGCCATATTCCTTGCATTAAATACAAGGCAGACAGAGACTTTTTCGCTTTCTTTGATGAACTAAATTGATGAGAAATTTAAAATTGTGTTGTTGTTATTGTGAACTTTGTGTGCGGGGTAAGAATTACTTCGTCTATAGGCAGACATGTTATTTGGGTTGCATGTTATTGAAAACAGGTGTATTTGGAACTGTTTGGTTAGAGCGTTCATTCTAAAACTGAACCTTTCCTTCCCCAGAGCTGTAGAGCTGCTTCAGAGTGGAGCCGTCATGAACAAAGTATTCCAACCCCATGAGGCACACATTCCGTTCATTCTGCAGGTGAGATGAGATGAAATTATGAGACCTGCCTTGATTACATGCCATCAACGCAGAAAATATCCTTCCAGTTTATGTGCAACGTATTGCTTGTTACAACTGAAAGTATCCTAGTTTCTGATTGTAGAAGTTCTATTTTTGGAACAAGGACAAAAAGTACGACAAAGCTAAAGAGGGAGAAAAAAATGATGCTGGATGGAGACCCTAAAGTAACGTCTGAAGATTTACGTGTACCGTACGTTGGATCTTGGCATAATAAAATTGCTGGATGTAACCTCTGTTCCTTGTTTCTAGTTCTTCATCGACTACAACCTGTATGGGATGAACCTGATTCACCTTGCTGCTGTCAAGTTCCGTCAGGAAAAACCAGAGAATGGTATGAACAGCAAGCCAGTATAACGGTAGAGCCTTTATATTGAGCAAGCCTAGAGGTAACTGAGACATTGCATGTGCTGATGAAGATATAATAAACCAGACAGATGGAGCATTGCCTTGTATATTGCATTATCGGATGTACATGTACCTGTCCAACCCTCGCAGTCAAGTGGCCACTGAATATTTACATACATGTGCACATATGTTTTGTACATATACATGTACATGTACATGTATACAGGTAAGTACATGTGGATCCTTTACATGTACATGTGACACGCTTCTCGAATTGAACGATACTGCCAAAGAAAACAGAAAAAAACGAGAATCAAATGAGAATCTCTCCTTTGACGTACACACTTGAACATTTCCATTCCTAGATGGTGGAGAGAGGGATAGATCTCAGAGTGAAACCAGCTCACCAGACACTCAGCCTGTGGATCTCAGTTCCCTGTTGAGTGGCAGCATGCTCAGCTCTCAGAGGTGGAACCGAGAGAACATCCCAAGGTATGACTGACAGTTCTTATTTTACTGAGCAGAACACTTGGGCAAGTATTGCAGTGGTTAAAAAGTGTCAGGTGTTGGCTGCCAGTGAATGGAGTTTGCCTGGTACGCAATCATGAATGAGATTTCTCACTTCAGACTGGCTCCAAAGTCTAAAATACATGTATGAGGGGGGGACCAGGAACCAGACTTATGGGTACATTATACATGCAGTTTGTGGTTTACAGTAAAATAAAATTTTGTTGACATAATATTGAATGTCCAATATTGTTTGTTGCCTCCCACGAGATACAGTGTGTGTGAGAAAAAATAAAAACAAAACCAACAAAACATTCTCAAGAATCTTCAAGTGTGACTCGAGCTTTACAACCTCATGCCAGCTAGGTTTGACTGTGCTGTCAGCTCCCAAGTTCTCCTGTGCAGACTGACAATTTCAGGCTGTGAAGTGCTGGGTAGCTGGAGGTGGCCAAATCAGTGTTTTCTGTGTTTTGGGCTGGAGGTTGTGAGTTAAAGGTCTGCATGAGTCTAGTTTTGAAGTTTTTCCTCAAATGACTGTGAACAGCAGAACCCAATATTGCCATTTTCATCTCCAAAAATGTGTCAACATTAAATACAAATTTCCAACTGTTTGGCAAAGTTGACCTTTATTTGGTATTGCACATATTGGTATGGGCGTTAATTCCCCCAAAACCTGAATTGACAAACAGCATACATGAGTGAAATATAAATGTTCTCTGTGTTCTTGCGTTTCATTCATGCAAACTAACAGTTTCAGGCTGTGAATACATGTACAGAGAAGCTGCGGGGGGCCAAGTTAATTTTTTCTCTGTTTGGGCAGGAGGTTGTGAGGTCCATTCCTACATGAGTCCACTTTTGAATTGTTTCCTAACATGCTCCCTGAAAACACTAAACATGCAGTCCTTTTAAACATGGAGTCGGTGTAAAGCAAAACCCCAAACTATGGTATCAACATTAAACATTCAATTAATTTTGGATTTCTGCCCTGCCCGACGTATACTATGACACTGTATACTCGGTGTTTGGCCCGGAAGGCTTGTGAAAAAACGACAAGTGTACTCAGTCGGGACTCGGACCCACAACCTCCTGCTTACTAGTGCAGACGTCTTAACCACTCGACCACCAAGCGTGCCTGTGCTGGCTGGTTAGTTAGAGTCAGATGTTCATGTAGCACCGGGTACCGCAAGCAACTACATGTATTTTTGTATTTTTTTTTTTTATGTTAGCCTTCGGGGGCAAACACTGAGTATACAATGTTATAATACACTTCGGGTAGGGCAAACAATCCAAAATTAATTACTATTCCCCCTGTGCAAATCCATCCTTGGTAATTGAATATTTAATAACTAAATTTTCAATTAGTTGGCGACGATGACCTTTCCTGCTGCTCTGCATTCTGGTATGTGCTTTAATTAAACAAGAAACCTAAATTGATAATAAGGATTACATATTTAAACATTGAAACAAAAAAGTTCCAAATCACTTTACCGATTTTCGCAGATGTTTAATCAGAACCGCCCCTTTTAGAGGTCTGACACTTTAATCGACGCAATCTGGCGTTCATTTTTATTGTAAATGATGCCTGTAAAATGTAATCTGACTTCTGGAACACTTTACTGCTCGGTCACAAAGTTTCCTAAATATTTTTCAAATGAAATGTCATTCCCACCCTTAGTATGCACAGTCAAATCAACTCTGAGGTTCAGTGCCTGGGATGATGTCACAGTTCTATTCCTGCAACTTTACAAGCATAAAAGGCTCCAAATACAGATTATTTAACAAAATAAGAATTGAAAATTAGTTCGTTGAAAAAACAGCAGTGCAATTACAAGGGATGTAGTAAAGGGATTAAATTACATTGTTCCTTTAAAGGGTTCGAACCGCTTCTTTTCAAGGTTTGACGTTTTGACGTTTTGATTGGTGCAACCTGGCATGCATTGTAACTGACACCTGTTATGTACATACTGTTTTTTTCCCCTTTCGGCATCCATGCCCTTTTTGAGGAAAAAGTGGATTATAAAACAATAAACATAACAGTAGCTTGTTTTAAATGCTCCAACTTCAATCTACATGTTTTCATATGTTGGACCATGTGCATTGTTCAACTACCGGTCTATATGAAAACGCTGAGGTACATGTAGGCGACCGAGGCCCCTGTAAAGTGTTAGCTCAATGTTGACACAGTATGGGAAAGTTTTTCTAAACATTTCTCAAATGACACGGAAATGCCCACCCCTAATTGATAAACAGCATACGTGCGGAATGCAAGTGCCCTCAAAGTCTCTGCAATTTTATCATTGTTTCAAATGCAGTGGATTATTACTAGACGCTGAAATTCAGAGGCAGAGTGTTTGTGAGCTGGAAGTCGATGCTGTGGCAATGGACATCCTCAACCGTCATGAACTGCAAGGTATTGATAGACACCATGGCATTCACAAGGTGAAGGCCATGTCCAGCAGACCGTAATTTCAGGAGTTTCATTATAGAGAACGACCCAAATTTTCCGAGCAGGTCAGGCAAAAGAGAAAAATTTGGTCATTTGAAAAGAGAGAAAAACAGTTTTTGTTCTCCTTATGTTTGTAGGCAACACAGAAATGAACCCTGGCCTTCTTGCCATCTACAACGAGGAAAGGGAAAGGAGAGAGGTCAAAGGTCAACTGGATGACCTCCACCCTCCATCATCCCCAGGTATCCCATTCAGTTTCCTGGCTGAGCTGTCTAAACCTTGCAACATATTGTGTCACACGATGTATAATTTACATGTTCACTTTCTAAGTTAGTGTGCACGTGAACAGCACATTTCTTTTTTCCATTTTTTTTCTAACTGATCAATTTTGTACAACCGCACACAGTCTTGAATGCACATAAGGGGGCAGTAATGGAAAGAGTCGTTAAAAGGTAGATTTTTGGTGTATTGTGTCAGACACTTATTGACTCATTTCTGTACTTTGCACAAAGAACGTTTGAACAACTCTCGTACCTTCGTTGTACAAAATTGCACATTTCAACCACAGGAAGCTGCACTGGCAAAGAAACGGTCACAAGCAGTACTATGCGTAGGCTTTTGTGTTAATGCAGCCTGTCTTTCAACCTGACCCTTGAAAGGACACACCATAAGTGACAGATTCCTACAAAACAAGTCTGAAACAGGGTTTGTTTTAATAGTTCTCAAAAGAGCACCTGCTGTGTTTGTAGCTCAGGTGATTCCATTTTAGGGTTCACATTACAAGCCAACTATACTGGTCAGGAATGCGATCTTCTCAAACTTCCTCCTCCCCCCCACCCAAACCTCCAACTGAATTTTGGAAACGTCTTGGGTGTAAAAAAACTGCTTGTTTGTTTTTCAGATCGAGGTGTCATAGAGGACACAGAGAGCGAATTGAAGGGCAAAGCTAGACTGGCAGACATTATACAGGAACGACTCGGTGAACTGTAAGTACATGCATGTACGAAGTCACCCCATCAGAGTGTACTTGACTACACCTTGTAAATATTCATGAGCAAATCGGAGCGCGTCATTGGCCGATTCCACCTCGCGTCTGGGAAGTAGAAATGATACGTGACCAGGTGACGTCATGGCAGTGAGTATCCACCTCGCTGCCGTGCGGTTGTTTTTTCTGGTAGCATCCAAAAATCCCTGTGGAACCTGCCACGTAAATATGTAGTCTGTGTCATGTAATATTTACGGAACCAGTCTATTTGGAGTTGTATCCTAATAACTATTACAGTAAAGATCAAAACGTTTGTCAGCACCAGCCTATTGAAGCCCTGTTTCTAGGCACATCTGCACTCCGCTATCATTGCATGGAAATTTAGCAGCTGAGAAACAACAATGGCGTCTTGAGTACAAGTAACTTGAGATTTCTGTTTGAATATTTATGAGGTGTAGTAAAACAAATGCAGCATGGTTTATTTCGGGGAAAAAAGTGGGAATTACTGGTCCCTCGGTGTAGGTCAGTTTGACTACCTCCCGACGCGAAACTCCCCCTGTAAATCTGTTTTCTCTAGAATGGTTACGTCAAGCTCTAGAAAATGTATGTGTAGGGCATCATTTACATTTCCCACGTACTTTATTCCAGAACAAGCAGTTTTAGCGTCAAGTGCCAGAAGGAATTTCACTCACGGCCCACATACTGCTCTCCGCAGTCTGGATGTAGGGTCCATTGCCTTCGTGAAGTAGCGCTAAACTAGACTCAAGTTGTGAACTCAGTGCAAGATTTAAACTTTTAAGAAGTTCAGGGTGGTGGAATTTTAACTCTTGTTGCCAGGAGAGCGTTGGCCGGAGGCAGCGAGGAGGACGACAGTGATGACAGTGTTCTCCAAGATACCCTGGCAGGAGCTTCGCTGCCAGCCAGCCAGCTCATCTTGCATGACTCGCAATATGCAGGTCAGATGATGTGGCTGTCAGTAGTGTCTTGTCTTGGTGCATGTCACTGTACCGCTTGTCAAGACGCGTTTCATTCTCTCTTGGAGAATACTTTAGTTGAATGTACCATTTTGCTGTTTTTTTCTGCGCTCAATAATGACAGTCATGTGCTGAGTGTAGTTTGCTGGTATGCGACAATAATGGGTGAAATAGTTGAGTAATAGAACTTTATTTTTTAATGTACTGAATACGGCCGTTTCACAATAGTGCGGCACCAAGAGTTTGCAACACGTTGGCCAATCACAATGCGCGAAATTTGTCAACCCAATGCGTGTTTGGAAAAGGGTCGACAAATTTCGCGCGTTATGATTGGCCACCGTGTTGCAAACTCTTGGTGGTGCACTATTGTGAATCGCCCGTATTGTCTGGCTTGTTCTATACAGTCTGAATTTTCAGCTATTTTCAGTGCTATACAGTGTACAAGGCCTGGCTATGATAGATAGTCATTGACTAAAGGGGTATAAATCAATGTCACTGATTCAATGTTTTGTGGTTTTCTGAGAGTTGAGAAAAATGGGCAGTTTTGAAAGCTCCACAGTTACTGTTTTTATAAAATGTATGTGCATTTTTAAAAAGTTTGGAACAGCTTAAAATTGCTGGTTCACAAATGACTATGACATGCAAGCATCACGGTGACCTCCTTACCAACCAAATGAACACTCCCCACCCATGTGGCTCTGTTCAACTAATGAGGGGGTGATTCCTACTCAAGGCAGGTAGTCAATCCCCATACACCACATTACTGGCCTCTGTGTGTATCTTTCCATCAAACCCTCAGTAGCCTTTCTTTTTCAAAGCCTTTCGTCTAAAAAATTTGTAAAACTTCACCGAAAATTGCCTTCTGCCTTGGAGCTCCACATATTAATACAAATCACAAGTATTCTGTGAAATGATATCTGAGTGGTGTTCTTTATAGAAGTACATGTTTGTTTTAACTTGGTAAGATTTTTCAAGTTCCTGCTTTTGAATTAAGAATGTTACTTTCGCCAGGAGAGGATGATTCTGTCTCCACTCCTGAGGAGGAGTCTCAGCCTGTTGTCAACGAGGAGCTTGTCCACTCAGTAGTGGAGGCTTCGCAGCACAGCAGCCAGTACTCACAGCAACCAGGTAGGAGCCTGTCCTTGTGGTCACCGGTATTGCTCCTGTCATTGTCCTTGTGTTATTTTGCCATATGTCCTTGTGTCACTTGTCACTTTAGTTGATATTCGTTACTTGAACGGCACTTGTAAATCCTTTTCCTGTTATTTTTTAAAAAGGTTTTGTATAATAGCTGTGATTTCTGAACTAGGTTGTATTTGTGAAATGATTGTCATTTGTTATAATCAGGATGTCTTAAGGTTACGGTGTCATCTTTCACTTTTGCCAAAATATTTTTACATTATTTGTCTGAGTATGTGCAAGTTCATTGACTACCATTTCCCATCATCCACACTCATTATGCACAGTCGAACACATCTGTCATTTGTCACAGGTGGGGAAGACCGAGATCTGGCCCAGCTCCTAGTGGACTTGGCCCAAGATGGGGCCTCCCCAGAAGATGGCAGCATCCTCTCCAGCCAAAACACCCAAGAGGAGAGGAGACGGGCAGAGCAAGAAGACGAGGAGCAGGAGGAAGATGAAGATGCGCAGGAGTCCCTTGAGATGTCCCAGGCCTGGGATGATGGCTGTGAGGAGGAGGGCGCAGCCGGACCATGGTAAACAAGGGAACTTTCTTTCCAAGCCACACTCTTTCAAAAGCTGCTCAACAGATGTCTTACCCCAACTGTGCATTACCATATACGAATCCGGAGACCACGGTAATGTACTCACAGGCTTTTTTTAGGTGGCTCTCCAATGATAAGCAGTGTGTTAACTACTGTATGCATCCACTGTTCCATGACAGTCGCTCCGCAAAAAACTCAACACGGTGCTTTCTGCCAACAAGCGGGACCGTCTAGAATATCCAGTGAAATGTCACTAGATTCGTTATAGATTTTCAACATCCAGAATTAGACGCTGTTACTGTGGCGGTACCACACTTGCATGCAGGGGCCAATTTCATAGAGCTGCTTAAGCACAGAATTTGCTATTAAAGCACGAAAAACCTTGCTAAATAAACAAAGGTTACCAATGGTTATGCTAGCCAAAAGACAGGTAAATACCATTCCAAAACAATATACATCACAAGAAGTTTTGGCTGGTAACCTGATTTGTCAAGCAAGTTTTTTTTTCATGCTTCACCAAATTTTTCACCTAAGTAGCACTATGGAATTGGCCCAAGCTTGCACCCACTCATTAAATGCCTATGTAATCAGCCAAGTATTGAAGCTAATGCCTTACACTCGTGAGCGTTGGTAACATGTTTGAACAAGTGAGTGGGTGCTTCTCCAAGAATGTCTCCTCCAAGAAGTCCACACTGTGCTGGAGGAGTCATTGTGCCATATTTTGTATCCTTATAGTGTGACACCAAAGACCAAGCATCTAAGTACATCTGAGGACCATTTTTCAACAACAGACCTGCCTCGGAGGAAAACCATTTTAAATCCTCAGATTCCCTGTGTTTCTGTCCTCAATGACGTCACACTGAATGCAAAACCAGAGCTCACTTGAGCTTTGAAGCTTTTCACTGTGAAGGTGGCAAGTTATTGTGAGCATGTGTGGCTCTGAAAAGAACCAGAGGGTACTGTCCGTTTCAGTCAGTATGGTCTATCTTGTCCACTCTCTAAGTTCCCAACTCAGCCACAATTTAACCAAATGTTGAGTGCCCTTCATTTTTTTTCAGTACCACACTTTCAAAAGAGATATTTCACATTGTGCTACGACGAACCCTTACCTTAAGGAGCTCTTTTGTTTTCATGAGAGTAACATTTTGCTGTATCCAGACTCTTGCCTTTGGATACCAGTTTTGGGCCCTGGAAATGCTGTAGCATTATTTTCATTGGTAGTCAGGCCAATGCAATAGTGTGTGGCGCACTTGGAAACCTGGAGTGTGATAGTGTGTGGATAAAGGACAGCTCAGGCTGGATGGTAGTAGGAAGAGAGTGCGTGAAAGTTTTTGAATTGAGGGTTGTTTAACGCCTCAATCGAAGGGAGTGTCTCGTAATTCAGAACAGGCAAAAACATTCCATTTGGAAAGCCCTGTTCTCACGGCAGAAAGGATGACCATTCCACTGGAAACATGGCATTCACATCAAAATGCTGCCTCAGAATCAAAAAAAGCTTCCTGTCCCCTGATGCATGATACCAGTGTTCCAGTAGGAGCAGTTCAACAATATGTAAACATTTCCCGGCTTCTGGTGATGCTTCCTAATCAAGTGATGAACACTTGTTTTCGTTTTGTTAAGCAGTACAATTCATGACATATCAGCGAGTGAGGAGGACACACAAGGTAGCCAAGATACTGCCATTCCTCAGTTTGACGGAGGCTCAGATGAAAAACAAGGTAGACATGTTTGAAGGTGTCACTGAACTGGCACAGCGTTATAGGTCCCAGTGGAAATCTTATTCCATTTCTGACCTTTGACCCTCGTTAGTATACTGTAGTATTTGAAAAGTATTTGGGAGATAGTAGTCAACCCCTTATAGTTGATCACTCATGAGAGTATTTGAAAATGAGTTTCCAATATGCCCAAGCCTGTCCATCTGTGTATCATATTTTTGTGAAATTAGAAAAAGTGTTTTTCCAATGTCATCTTTGCAATTTTGTGGGTAAATGTCCTGCTTCAACACTTGTCCCTTCACGTTCAGGAGAATATTTTCCCCCTTTTTGTGGGTTAAACCCCTGAAGCGACTGCTTTAAGTGCCTCAGTGACTAATTCACAATCCTTGATTGATTCTTCTCTCCAGCACCGACAAGGAAGAAGAACCTCGGTCTGAAACGCCACCTCCCAAAGGTAGCTTACAGTTTGCATCCAAACCCACTGGGAAGCAGTTCCACAGCTCAAAGCCCATTTCCCCCTGAGATCAAAACCTATGCCAATAAGAAGCTACTCCTGACAAGTCCGGAGAAGGCTCAGGGACATGCTGATCTGACACCTGCTGAGACTGTCCAAATTCAGAAAGCTGTCTTTCAGCAAGTCAGAAACCTGGATGATGACAAATTGAAGCAGGGCCATCAGAAGAGAACCAGAATGCCCCCCACGATAGTGAATCGACTTGGGGCCCCTGCCATAGATGCCGGACCAACTGTGGCATTGAAGGCCAGTCTTCAAACTAGGCAGGACAGCATCTCATTGGGTGGAGCTTCTTTGCAAGCACAGTGGTTGGCAGAGCTTGCACGGGACAAGATGTTAAAGATTCCGCAAGCTGTCCAGAAAAAATCCTTAAAAGGACATGTGGCAGAAAGTACCACTCAGTTGAAGAGTACTGCAAATGGATGCTCAGGGGAAAGTGTTACAGAGGATAAAGCTCCTTTCGTAACAGATCCCACTTCTGACACTAATACTGCTCCCCCTCCCCGAGCAAAGTCATCAGTGCCAGAACTACTTAAGGTGCCTTCTAGTTCAGATGCAGTCCACTTTGAGGGATGTAAGGAACTCAAAGGATACTCAAATCTGGATGATGTGAAGAAGGACTCCACATGGAACCCTGTTGTCATGCTCATTAAGTGCCCCATCCAGACCGACTTCAAAGGAAGAATTGCCTTCTCGGGTACCAGCTTACCACAGCAACAACTGGAACAGATACGGAAGGACAATCTGAAAGCTGTCTCACATCGTCGAAGCAGCTTTTCAAGGAGGATTGTACCCCCAAGAAAGTTTATGGATGAGCAGTTCTTCATGGACCAGATCCAGAAAGTGTCCAAACAGAAAAATGTACACCTTCTTAACAGCTCTCCTCAAAAGTGTGACAGTGGTCTGCCTCAAAAAATGAAGCGTGGTCGTCCTCGAAAGCACCATGATGTAGTGTTGGAGACAGAAGGCAAGGTAATGGTCAAAGAAAAACCAAAACAAGATGGATTTGAAATTGCTAATGAACCTCCATGCTTGATTTCACCAGCTCAACTTGCAGTAGTGGAAAACAAGCTGCAAATGCCCATCTTGGAGAAAATGGCATGTGTGAGTGATACATGTCCAGCTCAGCTGAATGAAAAAAAGACAGTCACTACCAAGACAAAGGCCATGCTGCAGGAGAAGTACTACAAAAGATTGATTTCCTCGGATAAGAAGAAAAAGTTAAGTAGGAAAGCCCCACACAGCAAGCTTTACTCAAAGAGAGATGTTAAAAGGTACAGAATGCTCTCAAGAACTTTTAATAAGCTCAGTTTGGCTGCTGAAGAACATGACGAAGCAGTCACATCTGTGAAAAGCTCAGAACCCCTACTTAGCTCAGCCCTGCATCCTCTTGGCTCAGAAACTTGCACACTTGCTTCATCCACCTCAGCTACTCCACCAAGTGGAAATACTGGCAAAGTTGGACCAGTCGCCATGCAGCCTGGTCCTGTCCTGGAAGTTGGTTCATCTCGGGGTCAGAGCAGCAGCAGTTCGACTGCCCATTCTGAACCTGCAGCTTCTACCCAGCAGATCAAGAAGAGCAGTCCAGGCACCCGGAAACGGCAAGGGAGTGACAGCAGTGATGATTGGTCGGAGAGGCGGACCCACTACAAGCGAAAGAGCAGCCAGTTGGGGCCAAATGAGTTTGACCCCATGATGTATGGCAGAACTTATGGCTTGCGTAAGAAAGAGAGAGTCAGCTATGATGATGGCTTTCCGGATGTCGGGTTTGACATCATGTGTTGGTCCGATGAAGAGGACTCTGTAGAGGTTTACCAACAGAATTCTGAGGGCCAGCACCAGAAGAAACAAGTGAATTGGCATACCAAGTCAGAATCACCTAGAGTTGAGAATACTCCAAAATATAGTGATTCATATCATCTACCTAGAGATCAAGCAGCCGGGGAGCAGCCGTGGAGCCCTCCACGGAAAAGAGGACGACCTTTAGGAAGCAAAAACAAGTCCAAACTTACAAAATCACATTTCCCGCAGGCTGAAGATGGTAAAAGTTGCCCCTCGCCCAGATCCAAGCAGCAGTTGTCATTCACCATTGACTCAATGCTAAATAAAGGTAAAAGGCAAAGAACCAGCCTTGCTGATCCAGTGCAGAATACATGTACATCAAGCACTGGTGAAAAACACACTACTAGTCACAGGGAACCAGTAGCTATTCCATCTATTCCATCTGTCACAAGTTCAGAGCACACCACCCACATTGAACTGAAGCAAAACGTATTCAGTAGCAGTGCAAAGCATAGCACCAGTCTTCTTGACCGCATGCCCACCATGTCTAGATGTAGTGGAAAGCACAACACTAGCCGAGTACCAACCATATCAGCCAAACCATCCATGATCATTGCCACTAGTCACAGCTCGCTGATTGGGACACCAGACTCCAGGCCCACAACCCACCAATCTAAGACTGTTCAGTCAATTGTCTGCCCATCACAGGGGGTACAGTCGACTGTTAGCCCATTGTCCACAAGTGTTTCCACGAGTGAACAGCACCGGGCTCGGTCCAGACCCAAACCAATTCCGACTGCTGTAAACGGGCACCGCTCCGAAGTCCATGATGCCACCAGTGAGCCTGCACTCTACCGGGATGCCATGTGGAATCTTGGATACTTTTCTCCCCAAAGAAAGGAAAAAGAGGGCTCGCCACCTAGGTGTTGGTCGCCATCTGTTGAAAAGGACAGCTCAGCAAGATCTCAACAACCTATGGAAGATGTTCCTGAGACAGCTCCACGCCACAGAACTTGTCAGGAACAGGAGCCAGGGAAACGAATGAAGCTGACTGATGATATGAAAGGGTCTAAGAAGAAGAAAGTGGAAGATTCCAAGAAGGAGGGGAAGTTACAGACATATGAATCGCAGGAAGGAAATAAAACGAACTACAAGCAGCTGATAACCTCAAACTCCAGGTCCTCTAATGGTGGAAGAGGTCCAGAGTTTAAACAAATGTGCAATACTGACAATTTGAATGAAATGGACTGGGCAAGAAGTAAACTTTTTGATGGCAGGTCAGAAGATGAGATGGAAAATGACCAACATAAGACACAGGGTACTAAAAAAGAACAAACCCAAACTGTTACTACAGATGATGGTCAAAGTGTTGTCGAAACTCTTTGCCCTGAAAGGGTTGGTAACAGATTTACCATAGGTAGGAGCTCACCTCCTATCGACGGAGCTAAGGACTCGTACAGCTCTGAAGCTGGCAGCCAAGAAAGCCCACTCTTTGAGAGGGCAAGCACAGCCAAAACTCTGGACCACTGCCCAGTCCAAACAAAGCAAGAAGTCTCTGCTGACTTGAACTCACCCAGCTCACGTGTGGCATCAGAGGAAGCTGATGTTGTCACAAAGGTGTCTGAAGAATGTAAGACTCAAGTTGGTGAAGGTGTCTGTCCTCAAGAGAAAACCATAGCTTCTAGTTCTGCAGGACTTAGTCAGGATTTTAAAGAAGCAACTGATGGTATGGCGTCTGCTGTAGAGGTCAAAGGTCATGCCAGGTCTGGAACAAATGATTTCAAGGATGTGCCGGTATCATTAGACTCACCAATGAACCAGACCTTAGTTCAGAATTCAAGCGACGAAAGGACTTCTTCTGAAGGTGTCTGCCTTGATGGTAGTACATTGACTGTGGAGGATACTGATGCATCGTCCCCTGGCCAAGATGCCGAGAAAGCAGGATCATTAGATCCTTCTTCTGGAAACTTTCCCGAGGGGTCCCAAGATGGTAGTCACCCAGATGATAATATAACTTTCAGTGACAATCGTGCCCAGATATCCCAAAGGAAACAATTGGATTGTCAGAAAAAGTCCTCGACTGACTCAGACAGCAAAACACCTGACCTGGATTCAAATTTGCCTTCAAAAATGCCCGACCTTGGTTCTGAGACAAGTTCCAGCATTCAAACAGAGCATGGATCCCCGTCTCTGGACAGAAAAGTCCAAGGTGATGAAGGCTGTCCAAGTGATATGGACCTAAGTCCTAGTTCCTCTTCTGATGACATCACCCCTGCACAGAGGATGTGGCAATCTCCAAGCCGGAATGAGGAGGAGGGGGATGAGAGTGACGATATGTGTAACTTGTCACACAGCTCCAGTAGCACAGGTGCGTCGCTGTCGCTAGACATGTCCCTGATCATCAGCCGTGTACCGTCCATCTCTCCAACAAGAGAGTCTGAGGGACACCCCTTATCAGGGTATCAACTCATATCCCCAGAGGACAGTCAAGAGAAGGTTGGCCGAGATCAGCAGAAAGCAATACAGAAGGTACGTTCCGTGCATGAGATGGCAGACGAGCGCACTGAATCAGGAGAATTCTCCAGCACCCTTAACTTGTCTCAAGACACTTCTGGTAGAGGACGTGCAATGATTGGGGAGGAAGCAGGCTTAAATCAGCAAAGAAGTTTGTTATCATCCAGCAGTGAGCATATGGATGATAGAAATCCAACATCTGCTTTGATATCAGGAAGCCAGACATGTTCCCTTGGGCTCAGCAGCTCTGGTGAATCAGGAATGAAGGAATCCACAGCTGCTGGTGTAAGCGAGAGTGGCCTCGTTATTTCAGGGACAGATCTGACAAGAGGACAGCTCCAATCAGATAACCACAGTGACGATTCTGACTCATTTTCACAGCTAGTGTGTCCAGAGACCCCTTCACCAATAGCCATGGATGATGCGTCACCGGTCAGCATGCCTTCCCAATTGAAACCCACTTCTTACTCAGAATCACTGTCCCCTGCCAGGCTAAAGCCAGTGGCAATCGAGGACAACACAAAGGCAAGCATCTTGCCATCACCTGGTGTCAAAAAGTTGGGAAATGTCACCACAGATGATGCCTTTGAAAAGCCCCGTAACTCTACATCTGAAGCAAAGGTGGAATCTGCATCGGAGACAGATTTACCCCACTCTCCACGGATTGGAATAGATACAGACTCATCTGAGGAGGTAGAGCCGATGGAGATTGACACGTCTCAGGAAGAAAGCAGAGCCCTGGACTTGTCTCATCAGAGCTCCTCACACCAGACTGGCAAAGTGCTCGAGCAGTCCCAACATCCTGGTTACCTTGGACATCCCCATACTGATCTGAGAGCTGTAGAAAAGTCCCCTGTCACTGCAAAGCCTGGACGACCACCATCTCCCAGTGGTGAAGATTGTGCTGTCAAGTCGGAGCGCCATTTTCAGCTAGACACTCCCTTAGAAAGTGGTGCAGCAGAGAATATTGCTGTCAGTCATGCTTTCAAGCCAAGTCAGGAGAGTTATCCACTTGCAATGTCTACATGTATCAGTATTAAAGACCAGACACTGTTGTCTGCCTCGCACCAAGATTCTCGCTCATGCACAAAGGACAGACCAGAATTCTTGGCAGTCACTTCTGTCCCCAGTCAGCAGTCTGAATCAGTACACCAGCAAACCTGTAGCACCCATCTGGCAAAAGATGATGCAAAGGCAGTCCGAAACCAGACCTCTCTTGGTAGTGCTGGCGACTCCCAAACAGCCCCAGTCTGCCAAAAACCTCCAGTTGCGTCCTCTTTACAATGCCCTGATTCCAGGGAGAGTCAAACTCGGCACACTTCCCCTGCAGTTGCAATGTCACGCCCGACAACATCGCCAGAGACGCAAAGCAAAATATGGACTCCAGCACAGTCCCCACCCAGTGCAGAAATGGTACGGGCTTCACTGCTAGAATTTGGCCTACCTCAGCTGTACCATCAAAGGGCATTTTGTAGAAACCCTGATGACGTTCACCATCCCAGGTACAAATTTCCAAATGATATCTTATTGCAGTATTAAAGTAACCAAAACTGTTCAGCACCAAATTCATTAGAATTTTTCCTACAAATTTTGCATTGAAGAATAAGCAAGAGAAAGGTCAAAATTTGATCATAAATACAAAGAGCAGCAACTCAAAATGACTATTATTTGATGAAAACTTAGTAAAATAATCTTGGCTGTCCAAAGAATACCCCTGCACTAGGCTTTCATGTCAGTGTTGTATTAGAGTCCATTAACAAGGCTAGTCATAATTATCAGGGTGAACAATGATAAAAGAATGCTTTTGTCACAGTTTATTTGAATAGCTGGTGAATTGGCTTAAGACTGAATGACTAGTAATGGACTTGCACGGACTTGTGATGGACTGGAATACTACACTGATGTCTGATTTCTACTTGCATACGTGTATGTTGGAGAACCATATTTGACAAAATGAAATAAGCAATCAAAGAGGAATGTCTATTATATCACAGTAAACCTGGTGTACATGACGATGGTCACGTACAGAGCAATCTCCCATCCCGCCTCCCTGAGGCAGAGAGTCAACTCACCCAGACAGGTCTTGGCCAATGGCGAGCCAACCTGATGGCCCTGGACCCGCACCCCTTGCTGTCACCCAGCATCACGGCCCCTGAACCAGCACTGCGAGCCGCCCTGATCGGGGATGGGGAGGCTGTGATCACACCCTGCCGTGTGCCCCCGAGTCGCACCCAAGTCCAGAGCTGGCTGCAGGAGAAGGACAAGAATGGCCCTCTGGAGAGGAGAGGCGACAACAAGGAAACGGAGGGGGAGGGCTGTGCTGAAAAACAAGAAAGTAGGTCCCATCCTGCCCCTCATCTCCTGGCTTCAAAACACCCAAGTCAAGTTTTATCCGAAGGGCTCTCACATTCTACTCAGAATAACTCACACAGTGTAATGGCTAGCCCACAGACTGATCTCCAATCCAAAGACAGGACAGCAGCCTCCCAGCTACATACACCAAGGGTTACTTTACCCCACTGGGAAATGAACTGCCCGCCGCTGCCTTCTAAATCTATCTCCACGCCACTGCGAGTCACACCGTTTTCAAGCCCCACCCTGTGGAGCAAGAGCAGCTCCCAGCCCCCTGGCAGCACACCACCGACCGAACCATTTGCCAGGAGGGGAAACAACAGCCAACTTCAGCACAGCACACCACTGAGAATTGACACTGGGGCGGGGGAGGTCAAACTACCAGTCACCCCTATCAGTGGATGGAAGCGACCCATGCAACCATCTTCAGCAGGTGGATCCAGGCAGCGGCATCCGTCATCATCCAGCATGAGACAGACTCTCCTCTTCACTCCAAAAGAGGTACATGTAAGTGAATTCTGGAAGAGCAAAGGTTTTTAACTGGTACCGTTACAACACTGGTATCTAAAGGATCAATACATGTACATGTACAATGGATATTTAGCTCAGCTTGTTTTCTTGCATGTTTCAATCTGTTTTCGTTGGAAGTGAAAAGAAGGTGGTCATTTTTCAATTCTTAGAAAATGCTTTCATTAGGGTATGCATGAGGGCACTATTTTGATGTCATCGCACAAGGCCTGTCCTGTTCTGATGAATGACATGATGCTTTGGCTCATGAATAAGGAAATCTTCAATAGGATAAAAGTGAAAATGTTGAAATGTCTCCCTATTACTACTACCCCCCCTAAAAAAAGCTTGGAGAAAATCTGGTAAAGTTTAAAGTTTCGTTGAAAGAGAATGTGAACCATTCCTGCATTTGACTGCATTTTTTCACAGCATTGGTCTTGTATTGGTATTTCCCTAAACCAAATATGTGTAGTGCCTCCTATTGCAATAAAACTGATCCTCATTCTAACCTGACTTTACAGAGCTCTGGAATTGGAAAGCCAGCTGGGGAGATGTCTCAAATTGAAGGAGCCACGCCAAGTAATACCTGTGGCTTCAAGATGCCACAGCTGAATATGCAGGATGCCAAAACAATGCATGAGGTTGGTTTGACAGGATTGATTGTTGACAACATTGATGCCCGATGCCACTTTCCTCCAGTGTCATTTCTGTGCATGACAGCATTTTTTTCAGAAGAAAACTTGTGCTATATTCAAAAATTAGATTCAGGACTGTCTGAGCTGGGACTTTTAACAATGAAAATGTCGGTTTGGGCTGTCCCCAAATTAGGTTCAGCATCTCACCATCATGAGCCTGGAGCTTCACGTGAGGACCCGACGGGACTATCTCCCGGACCCCGAATCTGATCCTATCCGGGCCTTGTTTTACAGCATCAAACACGACACACCATCGCAAGGCAGCGCAAGCTGCAGCCAGCAAGATGATGGTAAATAGTGATCTGCAGTTTTTTAAGGACAACTTTTGAAACCTTTGCATTTCTATTAATCTTATATTCCATTTCTTGTTTTTGCTTTTGTTGTTTATCCTTTCGCATTTGAGGCCATTGCAGGCAAATGCCTCTTATTCAATAACCAAGGCGGTCTCCTTCACCTTTTCTCTCAGTTGATTTGTACATTCTCTTCCATTGCTTCTAAATCCAGCCCTCATTCACAGTGTCATAATCGTTGATGACAGTAACCATGGCAACGCAGGTCCATCTACCTCATCCCATCCACAGGACTCTCTCGCCCACGCGGGCATCAGCAACATCCGCGTCACGTCAGTTGCCTCGGAGACTGACCTCCTGGATGAGATCTTGGCTATTGTTAGAACGTGAGGATCACTGTTTGTTTGTTTGTTGGGTTGTTGGGGTGTTTGTTGGGTTGTTTGTTTGTTTGTTGGGGGGGTGTTTGTTGGGGTGTTGGATTGTTTGTTGGGGTGTTGGGGTGTTTGTTTGTTTGTTTGTTTGTTTGTCTTCCCTCCACTGAGCAAACAAGAAATTCCACATATATTATGTACATTTGCGATATAAAAAATATTATATATCTCTATCTATAATATATATCTCTTGCTGGACTCATGACTGTTTGGGAATGCAACAGGTAATCTATCCCACAGGCCGTCCAAATCTTGTTACCCGAGTCACTCTTTGCAGCTATGTGTACATATAACCCCATAAAAAAGAACGGCTGGGACCCATCTTTGCCCATTCCTGCAAACTCCTCCAACATTTGTTGGGATTTCAAAGGATTTAGAAGAGAGAGTGTTTATAACGCAGGGAGGCACACAGTACAGTAGCTTTCTGCTATTTTGTTTTTCTCTTGGTCAGGCATGACCCAGACATCTTGGTCGGCTACGAAATACAGCAGCATTCCTGGGGATTCTTGCTTGAGCGAGCTGCGTTCCTAGACATGGACCTCTGCACAAAGATCTCAAGGTTGCCAGGTAATTGAATCAATGAGTAAGAAGTTGAAAGAACGTTTCATGCTCTCCAAGAGCCAACGCATGGGTTGGATTTCAAAGAACAAAGACATTTTTTATTTGTAAAAGTTTAGAGGGTCTCAATTCTGACTCTGTCAGAATTTTTCTCAAGGCTGTGATTTTCTCAAAGGTATTTTGCTTGTTAGAATGAGTTTTGGAATGACCAGCCGTCTAACTTCTGCAGTGTGTATCATCACATCACTCTTGTTAGTTTGCAGTTTGCAGTGCCAGGGTTTATAATAAGGGAATAGATATGTGTTTGGCTGGTCTTTAACCCTAAACCCCTAGGGTGTATGTAAAATCACATTGAAATTGGAAGATTTGGGACTGTTAGGGTTAATGTGTGTTTGAGACCAGCTCTGGATAATGGACGCGACTAAAACCCGAGCCGCAGGAAAGGGCATTATTAGCGCTCTTCTGAGCAAGGACATTAAATTTAAGACTGGCCAAGCACGTATTTATTCCCATTCATTAATACCTTTTTATTCAGAGTCAAAAGAAATCAACATATGATGGATTTCCAACAATTTTGTTCTAAACTTTACTTTCATTTTCCTGTACACCCAGTGCGTGATTTACACAATGGGCATTATCACTTCTCAGTGGGCATTATCAAATGTGACGCTTACCGACCAATAGGAATAGAAAAATTCTCCCAAGTAATTATGAGGGCTTGCTTAGTATTTGCAGTGTCATGAAGATGACCAACTTGAACTTGTTTAAATGTCGACAAGAGATCTGGTTGCCAAGTGGCATCTACAAAGTGTTTAATACTCAACCGTGGAAACTTGAAATCATTCTCAGCAACTGTTTCCATCTACTGTTTATCTCTTTCTGGTTATCACAACCTGGGTATACCTCAAAAGTACACTTCACATTAGCCCAGAACTTTAGAAGTTTGAATGAACCTTGGAGTTCAGTTGTCATAGGCAGGATGAAACCACCAGTGTGTAATTTTTTGATAAGCTTATGGAATCCAGGAGGAAATGAAATTTTTCCTGTCCACCCATCAGTCTTGGTGGAATTCAAACCCTTAATATGCAGAGGCAGATGGAGAGTCTTGCACCTACCTTGACCGACTTGTTCAGCCACTCCTCTCTTGTTTGCCTTCAGAATTCAAAAAAGAGAGCAGCTTTTCAGCAGAGCGTGACGCATATGGAGCTGACCACCAATCAGAAATCAACATCGCTGGCCGCATCACATTAAACCTCTGGCGCCTCATGCGGCATGAGGTACGACAGGTTTTTTCACTCTGCCGAAAGTTAATTGGTGACTTCTACTTGAAACACACTTTTGTTTTCAAACTGTTGATAGATAATTGTAGACTAGAACCTTTCCCATCTACAGAGGAACACCACTCCTTGATTTAAATGTCAAACTACCATCATTCCTCAGGTGGCACTGACTAACTACTCATTTGAGAATGTGGCGTTTCATGTCCTACATCAGCGCGTTCCCCTCTTCACCTACCGCAAACTGTCGGACTGGTTTGACCACAGAAACCCACAACTGTTCAGGTTTGTTATTGAAGGTAGATGCTGGATCTCACCTTTTAATTACAGCTTATTTATGTGTTTTTGCTTACACGTGTGTGCTCATGTGCCACTCATCGGTTCTATATGTTGATAGGAAGATTTAATCGACCAAGTTTCTTGTAGCGATTACTTTTTTGTTTCTGCCAGGACGGCAGTATTGATTATTGACCTGGCTTTTCCCAGGTGGCGAGTGATTGAGTACTACTCGGTCCGTGTCCGTGGGTCGCTCAAACTCCTCCAGCAGCTAGACCTGATTGGACGGACCAGTGAGCTGGCCAGGGTCTTTGGTTTCCAGTTCTACTCTGTACTGTCCCGAGGCTCGCAGGTAAAAACATGCTCTGTAAACTGTAAAAGTTCAAAGACATTGATGTTCCAAGCCTGAACCCTGTTGTTATTTCATGAAATTGTTAGATCTTACTCTACATAATATTATTTGGAAACACATGTAATTACTTTAGAAAAAAAACAAAGTATTGAGGGGACACTGAATGTACAAGCAAGGTGTGGCACCTTGTGCCAGAATGGAACGCTTTTCTCTAAAAAAGACAAAATGAACAGACAGTGGTTAAATTATGGCTTTAAATGAGCTTTTTTTGAAAATAAGATTTGAAGCTTTGGTTGTCCTCTCTCCTGAGGATGACCAGGGCATCGTGGTTGAAACATCGAGTTCTCACTCACCGTTTCCTCTCAGAACTACCAGTCCTTAGATTTTGGAAGTCAAAATATCCTGAGGTCGCGCCCTCTCAGAGACCTTGGGTACTGGCTATGTTTAGGAAACTTTGCACAGTCGACTTAATTATATTAAAGAGATTCCATGTGGTGTACCTGCAAGCTTTTTTTCAGTCAAACTTTGTTTTGTCATGTAATAGGCACTTAACTCATTCCAAAACAGCGTGGTTTTGCCATGGGCAATTACATATTCATTATTAGGAATTTCAAGGTTTTAATGTAATGCTAACAATCCTTTTTGGTCCTATCGTAAGTTACCTTTATCAGACCTGAATTATCACCAGTTTTGTCGGATCATCCTATCCCATCCAAGATGTACGTGTAGCAAGAATGCCCATGTTAAAGCCACGCTACCAAAACTCGAGCTTTGTATTCCATTTTTTTAAAACTTGGTCCTTATCTTCAAAGCAAATTACACACCGAGAATGTTAGCATTCTGCTAAGATTAAATTGTTTTCCTTTCCGGTTTTGGGATTACAGTTCCGTGTTGAGTCAATGATGCTGAGGACCGCAAAGCCACAGAACTATGTTGCCCTGTCCCCCAGTGTCCAGCAGCGGTCAAGGTAAAATAAAGTCATACATACAGTAATATGTTGTTACTTAAGATTGAATTGTTTCCGGTGCTGAAATGAAGAATTCCACCCCTAAGTGGCCATTACCTGCAGCTCTCAAACCTTAAAAACACTTGTAGAGAGGTTAAGTGTTCAGTTTAAGTGGTTGAAAGAAAACCTTGGGTGAATGATTTTGTGGGTAAAGCCTACAGAATCAGGGAGTGAAATCCCAACCCGCATGTTTGCCTTGGTGAGATCCGAACCCGGGTCACAGAGTTGAAAGGTTAGGAAAGTACCACTGCATCAGTTGGACTCTTCACATGGAGGCCGAGTCACGAGAGCCATCCAGTGCTGTTTCGGCCAGGTATCCTCAAATGTTGTCATCGTTTAGACCAGAAATAGATACCATAGATGCAACCATTATGTGATGTGTATCATGCGCTGCTTTCCTAGAATGAAGGCCCCCGAGTGTATTCCTTTGGTCATGGAGCCCGAGTCCAGATTCTACCAGGACCCTGTCATCGTGCTGGATTTCCAGTCCCTCTACCCGACCGTGATGATTGCCTACAACTACTGCTACTCGACTTGCCTCGGACGCTTGGAGCACATTGCCAAGTAAGACCATGCCGTGTTTTATCAGTACATTCAGCTATTTACGGCAAGGGATAACGCCACCCCCGGCTTGGTGCCACCACAGAAAATGTTGGTTTTCATAGAAAAGAGAAGAAAATGAAGCAAAATGGGATAATCTGCAAATGGGTCTGACCATAAAATGAAAAACCTTGAGAAAGAAAGATTTTGAATTTTTTTTTTAAATTGACGTATAGTAAATTATCAACCTTATTTCCCGTGCCCCATTTCCAAAACATATATACCTTTACTTGCCCCTCGCCCCCATAACTAAATGAAAACTTCTAGTGTTGTGTCATTGGGGGTGGGCAAACCACATGTTCTTTTCATGATGTAAACCATGGTAAGAATCTTTGGTAATTTTGTTTCAAGTAATCATCTAAGCTGTCCAAGAAAATGATTATAAAGATGAGCAAAGACTTTGCCTGGAGAGGGATTTGAACCAGCCACCTCCAGAACACAATGCCGATTCTACAACTAAAATGTTAATCATCAGGCTGTGATCCGTGGGGCTGTTTGTTTCACATGGATCTGGATTGCCATCAGTGATCCGGGGCCGGTTCACCGACACCAGACATGCCAGAGCCCACTTGATGGATAGAGAGAATCAACTTTTTACAGGGATCACTGATGGAGAAACCAGATCCGTGTGAAACCAACGGGCCCCACGTGTCATTAGACAAAAGGAAATTGTGCTGGTGTGATTCCAACTGTATTTCACAGGATTCCTTTTTTTTTTGCCAAGTGGTGGGGAGTATGTCCTTGGATGTGGCTCCCTGTCTGTCACCACCTCCCAACTCAAGAAGCTCCTCCAGTCTGACAGCCTGAACATCTCCCCTAACGGTGTTGTGTTTGTCAAGCCCAGTGTGCGCCGCGGTGTGTTGCCCACGTAAGTGAATCCACCTAAGCCGGTGTAAAATCTTTCTACAGTGCATCCATCAAATATTTTGACATGTCATTAAAAGCTAACATCAGTGTTTAAACCTGCCTCATACGTCATTCAAATGAAAAAGCAAGTTAATTTGATGTCACAAAAGATTAGCAGCAGATTTCCTGGAATTGAAACGTGTTCAGCTTTTATGAATATGCACCATGAATATTTAATCTGATACGTCAATCAAGTATGAACCGACCTTTAACCACGTCCTGCCGGGGCAGTTATCAATGTTGATGATGCTGGGCCGGGATATTTATCATTTTTTTATGTTTTCAAAATTCTTTAAAAATTCCTATTTTCATTTACTGGACACTTACAAACCCGTGAAGGACTGTCTGGTGGCCCCTCTAGCCTGACAGACAAAATCTATTGAAGCCTGAGTATTTTAGCCAGGCCTGCAGCCTGGTAAAAGAGCCCAGATTGTGCGGTGTTATGTAACTTTCTTTTGTTTACGAACCTGGCACAGTGCGCTGCTGACCTCTTTTCAATAGGGCCAGATTAGCATGTAGCGGTGCTGTGCGGCTCACCGCTGCGGTTGTGGAGCGCTTTTGTCCCCGGTGGTAATCCGCTCGCTCCAAATGCCCCAAACCGTGGTATACTGTTTCAAAACAAGGCTGTATTATCCCCACTTTTGAGAGTGAAAAAATGTCGGTAATGCCCAGCAGCCTGGTCTTTTGTTCTGAGTACGGTCTTTTGTTACAAGGCCGAACTCTTTTGTCCGAGTTTGGAGACCCCGGCCACGCATATGAAGCATACGTGTCTCTATACGAAATCCCCGGCAGGGAGTGGTTAAAATGGAACAGTTTGTTTTTTCAAAGAAACGATTGTGATGTAAAATGGCATAATCACTCTTTTTTGTGATGATAGTGCATCTCATAATAAAAATTCACGACGTCACGTTTTTCTTGTCTTTTGATCTTTGAACCAAAGAGCACAGTGATGGAAGTTTTTCCACAGCAGAAGAGATGACACCGTGTTTGATTCCAAAGTAAACTTGGCCCGGGGCAGCCAAAGACTAATGTTTACATTGTATCACAGTTTTGTTTGGACTGCTTAGATTTTGCATGCTCAGTTTTTTTTGTTCCCCTTTTAAAGTTTGAATTTGATGTTTGCAGACACACCTGAGATCACCGGCAACACGAACACCGCAGCAGATTTGTAACATTTTAGCTCTCAACATTTGTTTCTGGTGTATTCCTGATAGTCTGTCTTTGTGTGGATTTCTTATTTCCCTTTACGCATTTTTCTGTCCGTGCAGGATGCTGGAGCAAATCCTCAAGCTTCGTGTCATCGTCAAGAAGGCTCTCAAAGACTTCAAAGATGACAAGGTAAGACTTCATTCTTAACCCGCTAGCTGTTTTGTTCAGGAACCTCACTCAACCATGGCAAATGTCATTACCGTCTTTGGCCCATTCTTTGTGCTTACGGACCAAAATCAGGGTCTCAAGTCCCGTGAAAGCATTGGTGCATCTAGTCTACAGTCCTCCAACTCAAAGGAATGTGATGTTAGCTTTTGACAGGTTTGGGTCGTTTAGGGTTTAATAGGGGGATTTTTTCCCAGAGCTCACTTCACACTGTATGCTGGAGCTAGGATCCAAAGCATTCTTGTTGCACGAAGCGTGAAGTGTCCTTGAGTTGTAGATAAAGCCCTTGCCAAGAGGAGGCTTTCTT